AAGCTTGTTCTCTGTGTGATATCATAAATCAGGAAATGCTTGCTGAGTTTCTTTTTCTTGTGAAATACATCTTAAATTTTTCTGATCTCTTTTAGTAATATTTGAACATGTTTATTTATTTTTTGTTCAGTCATCTGGTAGTTGTTCATGTAATGAGGAATAGAAACCACACAAATCATTGAAATACACATATAATTAAAAGTGATAGGGGCCAGGGATTTGGCCTGCCCCAGAACCTCAAGGTCCTCAGTTTGATCCCCGGTCCTGCCAAAAAAAGAAAAAAAAGATAAATTGAAATATGAACAAATCTCTGAATTATCAGGACTACTGATAAATAATAAATAGGGTTAAATAATGTTAATTTTTCTTTCATGTCATGCTGCTGATTTTCTTATGTAGATGATAACTATCGGTGGAAATGGCCCAGTTTTGAAGTCTTGTTCTCCCTACTCATTACCTGCTTCAGAATACAGTAGTTGAGCACTTTCTGTTTAATCATTCTAGTGTTTAGCTTTATATTTGGCATTGTCAATGGTGCTATTTTTCAAGGTAGTTAGTAGACCTATCTACATATGTTAAACCTGTGTACTTGATTATTTGTTAGAGATAAATATTTTCAAATTGGAGGGATATCTTTGTAGGAAGGATGAAGAAGAAATAGAATAAGATAAACCAATTAGTACCAACATAGTGAACATTTTAGTGTACACTTACATTTGAACTTAACCAGTTGTCCATACAGAATTATGTGCAATGTGCGTGTACAGTGGCTCAGGATTTCCAAGATACCAAGTATTTCCTCCAGTGCTGAAAGAGACTGCTCTTTCTTCATTTGAGTATCAGGTGCAAGGTTGGCTTTCATTCAGCTCAGGTTGTGGAGATGTCCACGCTTGGGGCCATGCATCCACACTGAGACCCAGCATAGGTGCTTGGTCGTTAAATGACCAGAATTATTGAATTCATCAGCCAGACTCTTTCCTCACTCAGCACTGTAATTCTTTGTCGAATAGACATTAGCTGCAACTTATTCATTTGCCCCTTCTTTGAACTGCACTTATTTTTTCATATTTCAGGTAATTTGGGTTTTTCGCCTGTTCTTAGAGGCAAGTTTGTTCAACAGTACTAGACAGAGCTTTTGTTCCTAATTCTAATATCTTTTCCTCTTCAAGAGTTAAAATGTTAGTGCAATTGTGATCTGTCTTGCTTTGTTTGATCTTGCCTGGAGAAGATAGAGTTGGAAGTCCAGAGCTGGGGATTTAACTCAGTGCCATTGCACCTGCCTGGCAAGAACAAGGTCTTGAGTTTGATTCCTGGTACCAAAAAAAAAAGAGTTAGAAATCCCCCCGAGTTGGGTGTATTTCTTTCCTGTGTGTGACGTTCCTAGGAGTTATCCAGGTAGACTGTGCCCTGTTTTTTTTTTTAGCTAGAATTGAGTATTTTGCACAGTCTCTGCTTGATTGTAGTAATGTCTTTCTATCCTGCTAAGAACTGTTCTCTTAGCTTTCTTGGTGAGATGTAACAGGTTGTCCTTCCTTCAGGTCCTTGTATCTTCACTACATTCTGAGGAATCCCTTGACTTTATGGCATAATAGCGGCACCTTTCCCCTTATCCTGTTTTAATCAGGATTTTACATTCCTGTGATCATTTATACTGATGTTCAGCCACTCATCTAGTATTATGGAGCACCTGCAAGCCTTGGGCTCCTGATGGAACACCAGGAAACAGAAAGTAATCAGTTTAGAAATCACAAGGAAAAGAAAAATTATGTGCAATGTGAGGAACAATCTGAAGAAGTACCTGGTAGTAGGAAAGTGTGGTAGAATTTATTGAGCAAGACTTCTCCAAGGAAGTGATTGATCATTGAGCTGAACACTGTAGGAAGAATGGGAGCTGGCCAGGAGGCTGGTGCAAAGAACATTTCAGGTACAAGAAGCCACATGTGTAAAAACTCTGCAAGGAGACCAGTGTGGCCAGAGCATTGGAGAACAGATAGTGGGAGAGGAATTGAAGGGTAGGGTCAGGCTAAATAGTAGGCCAAGCTTTGCAAGGTTTTACAGGCCGTGTTAAGAATTTGCTGCATCTTAGGGCTGGGGACTTAGCTCAGTGGCGCTGCACCTGCCTCGCAAGCATAAGGTCCTAAGTTTGATCCCCGCTACCAGAGGGGAAAAAAAAGAATTTGATACATCCTGAGAGCAGTAATCACTGGAGCATTTTAAACAGAGGAAGTGTCCAAATCATCATTTGTGTTATGGCAAGATCATTGTGGTTGTGATGTGGAGAATTTTAAGGGACTGAAGGGGATGCCAAGAGACCAGCTGATAGCCTGTTTGGTAGTCGAGACAAAATTTTCGGGGACTTTGAGTTGAGTGGTGATAGTAGAGGGGGTATATATGAAAGGATTTGGGAGAGCTGGTTATGGCTTAGCTATTGGAGCAGAGGGAAGAGTTAAGAATGTCTCTGAGCTTCTGACATGTAGAGTAGCATCAGTAGTGGTATTGCTACCTAAAATAGGGAACGGGGAAGAACCAGGCATTAGAATGAGGTCATGAGTTCTGACTTCCATGGGTTACATTTGAGGTACCAATGAGACATCCAGGGGGAGACATTTTGAGTAGACTGTTGAATGTACTGGTAAGGCCAGGGAGTAGAGAACTGGATTCAAGATAGAAGTCTGTGAGGCATCTGAATTTAGGAGTTAATTAAAGCAGTGGGTGTGGATGAGATCACTTAAAAGAGGAACCACAGAATAAGAAGAGGAATCCTAGTACCCTGCTTTGAGGAATGCTTAATATTCAAGGAGGAGGAACCAAAAAGAAACTTCAAGAAAGAGAAACCAGAGAGCTAGGAAGGAAAATTAGGACAATGATGAGTCACAGAGGACAAGGGAGGAACGGTTTTAAAAGGAGGGTGTAATCAACTCTAAATGCCGCCCAGAGCTCAGGCATAATGAACATAGAAAATTGCATTCTGTGGCCTTCAAATAAGTCACTGGTGACTGGCTAAAAGCTGAAAAATACTAGGTGTAGAAGCCATGTGGAATTGGGCTGAAGAGTGAATGAGGAAAGAGAAGTGGACTGTGGCAAACACGGGTGTAGCTGGGAGGGAGCTAATGGCATCCAAGGAGAGCCTTTTTGGTTTTGTTAGGGAAAGTCTTGATGTTTGTATGCACTGATAGGGAAAAACCAGTGGAGAGGGAGAATTGGCTGTATGAGAAGATGAGCTATTGGAGTGAGTTCCAGAAAAGACAGGAAGGGGACAGGATGCAGAAGCAGTGAGCATTAATGTAGGTAATGAGTGTGATTCCATGGCGTTTTCTCCCCACGCATAACACAGGTGACATCTACCAAAAGGAACAGGAGCTTTACACCAGAGTCCAAATTGGCATTCCACTCAGAAGTATAATAAATATGTCCCTACCTCTCCTATCCCTTTTATAGAACAGCTTTATTGAGGTAGAGTTCACACACCATATAGTTCACCTATTTAAAGTGTACAATTCTGTGGTTTTTAATTTATTCATAAATATGTATCATCATAACCACAGTCAATTTTAGAACATTTCATGACCTCAAAAAAGAAACCTGTGTCCTTTAGCTATCACCCACCTCCCTTCTTTCTCAATTACATGTTACCAGAAGAAGGTAAGGAGTGTGGTCCAAATTCAGATTTAAAATCACATAATAATTTCAAAGAAAAGTATAAACTAAAGAGTTGCTAAGAGTTTTAAAACTTGAGAAAAACAAAGGGGACTAAGGCCTATCACTTAGGGTCACTGGTGAAAAACCAACAGATACCATGCTCAAAACACCTATTAAGTGTCACATTCTTCCCTCTCAGAATCATATAAAAAATAAAGATTAATGAAATGGAATTGAAAAAGCAACAGGTGTAAGTAAACTATAAAAGTACAGTGTTGCTAAATGATTTTCTCTTGACCCAGAAAAATTATATTTTCTGTTGCTTACAAGTTGCTTTTATAGTGAAATGCTGTTTACTGTCCTCTCTGAGGTATTAGAGAGAATGAGGTAATAACAGTGGGCTGGAAAAGAAATACTCTGCTTAACATTGATACTGAATGAGGTCTCATAATGGAATTACTCAATGTGGATTTATAAACATTCAGAAGAAGTCATAGAAATCAGCATAGGCTTAGTGAAAAGCCATACAAAATGAACTTCATTTCATTTTCTTATAGCCAGGAAATATGGAAGAAATAGTGTATTTTAAAACCAGTATGGCCTGGGGGTGTAGCTCAGTGGTGCTGCCGCCTGCCTTGCAAGTGCAAGTGCAAGGTCCCAAGTTTGATGCCTGGTACCAAAAAAAAAAAAAAGAAAAGAACTTTAAGATGACAGTTTGATTGTGCATTTTCAGTAGTGTAACAGTATTCCTCCACTATCTTTTGACTCACATCGTTTCTGTCAAGAAATCTTTGTCATTCTTTGTCCATGTTTTTATCCCTTTGGCTGTTTCTAAGACTTTATCACTGAATTTCAGCAGTTTGGCTGTTCAGTACTTTGGTATAGCCTTTTTTCTTGTACTTTGGATTTTTCAACTTTTTAGCAGGATTACAGTTTTTATTAAATTCAAAATTTTTTCAGTGATTATGTTTTCAAATATTTTATCTGCCCATCCACCTCATTTGGGGATTACAATTACACAAATATGTGATTGATTAAAGTCATCCTATAGCTCACTGATATGATGTCTTACACTCCCCCCAACAGCCCATGTTTTATTATGCATAGTTTTTACTGCTCTGTGTTTGTCTAGTAATATTTTCTTCTGCAGTATCTTAACCTGTTAATCCCATCCATTGTATTTTTTATCTTATTGTATTTTATTTTTATTCTGTAGTTTTTATCTTCTGTCCCTCTACATAATATGCTTAATTTTTCTAGAACATGTTGAATGTAGTTACGGTAGCAGTTTTGACATCCTTGTTTGTTCTGCCTTAAAATTAATTGTTTTTCATTTCTTTCCCAACTCTCCCCAAAACCAGGCTACAGAAGAAGTTTCCAAAAACCTAGTTGCCATGAAAGAAATTCTATATGGCACAAATGAAAAAGAGCCACAGACAGAAGCAGTGGCCCAGCTAGCTCAAGAACTGTATAACAGTGGGCTCCTTAGCACCCTGGTAGCTGATTTACAGCTCATTGACTTTGAGGTAAGATTTCAATTTCTTAATTTTCTAAAACAGTACCCTATTCGTAGTCCTTTTCTGTATGTTCTCTTTTGAATCTTAGGATCCCTGTTGGGCTCGGCTCAGGGCTTCTTAACCTCTGAGCATGCCGGGACAGCTTGCCTCCGCAGAGCCAGGGCAGGAGCCCAAGGTGTCTCAGGCCTCTGTTTTGCCACATTGTATGTGCAGTTTCTTAGGTATTCAACACGCCCTTTTATTTAGGTTATAGTGCATAATTCATTAAAACTTGGCTCTCAGGGAATGAACAATCTAAAGAAAACTAGCATTTAAAGGTAAAAAAGATCTTATGGAAAGTTCATTATAGCAGAGATCATTATGTGATTTATTTGCTTGGTGCTGCTTTTAAATTCTTAAATTAGTGCAATATTGCAGATTTTATTCACAATTCAGAATTTTTAGCATCTCTTGGAAAATCGAACTGGCATTATTGGACCTCCAGTCCCGCTTGTTCCTTCCATTAGAGCACAGCAACTACCCAGGACTTCCAGACTTGACTTCGTTTAGACAGCTCAGCTTGCTCTACCCATTTGCATCTCTGCCCAACCCTGGTAGGCGTTTGAGATTGCTGTCCAGGCTTGTGTAGCTGGATCATACCATGTTCAATATTTAGTGAATTCAACAGTGCAAATAATGGGCCTTGACACTAGTCTGAATAAACTAGTGTGAAACGCACATAAGATAATGAAGCACTCTAACATAGTCACAGGCAGTCTCCTCTTTCTCTTGTTTGGCTGTCTACCAGGTGCCTAAAGGACAGGTGCATGTTCTAGGGGGAAAAAAAATGACAGAGAGCAAATTAAATTTTGGAGAAGGATGAGAGGGTATGATTCATAGGCCACTTGGATAATAGTGATAGTACAAGAAAATAAATATTTATTTTTCCTGCTATAAAACAGAACTAAGATATTCCCATTTATATAGCTGATCTCATACAGTATTTTTAATAGTGTATCAAATTCCAACAAAAAAATTTTTATTTCCTCTGAAAGGTGATGATACACAGTTCCTTCTCCATTGTCTCTCCCCAACCCCATCTCACTCTGTTAACTGGACACTGAATTTAATATTCATTTGGGACTTTAGAGACACTAGTTTTTAAAAAGTTTGTGCATGGGACTGCTGGGACTGGTTTTAAAGGTTGCCATTGCTACACCTGAGCTGGCACAAGCCCCTGGATGGTGTCTCTGTGTGCAGTGAGGCCGGAAAGCTAGCATTTCGCTTCTCTCTGTGGGCTTCTCAGCCATGGTCCAAGGGCCATTCTGAAACACTCTACTCTTGGGTCCGGGTCTCTGTTTATTAATTTTTTTAGCTTTTTGATTGTAAGATTCTCAGACCATAGTAATGCCTATCTATTCCATACAAAGTTCTATCTCTGAACTGTTGTAGTACTTCGTTATTAAGCTATTTGAAATGTCTACTTGCCATTAAACCTCAGCTTCTTACAGAATTCTTTCATTTTATTATACTGGTAGAGTATAATTTCCCCCACTTCCATCACTATAAAAGAAAACTCTGCAGCCAGGGATTTAGCTCAGTGGTTCCACCACCTGCCTCGCAAGTGCAAGGACCCAAGTTCGATCCCCAGTACCAAAAAAAAAGAAAGAAAGAAAACCCTGTATTGTTAATAGCACAGGCATCTTATCTGAAGCTGCTTTTACCACTTGGGTGGGTTTTAGAGCCCTGCAGATTGTTAGCAAATAGCAACATTTTGTTTTCCATTTCTGACTCGGTATGATTCTGAGAGTAAGAAATGATGCAAATTAGATGTGGGATGTAATGAGATTTCATTTTGTCAACATTGTTCATGTTAAAAATAGTGTACTATTACAATTTGGAATTATAAGAAATAAAAACAAGAAAATTAATGTCTATGAGTATTTTAAAGTTACATATTCAGTCATAACTGTAAATGTAAAATGGTTTTCTTTAGATTTATTTGGGAGGGTAGATGGGCATTCTCCTGTTTAGTCAGGTAAATATTTAATGATTGTATTCCTAATAGGGCAAAAAAGACGTGGCTCAAATTTTCAACAATATCCTCAGAAGACAAATTGGTACAAGAACTCCTACTGTTGAATACATCTGCACCCAACAGAATATTTTGTTCATGTTATTGAAAGGGTATGTACAATGTAATAAAATTTATATTCTTAGTTAAAAACAAAAAGGAAAGATTGCCTTGATAAAACAGGAAGAATGAATGTGGGAAGCATTTTAATCAGCTCATTTTTCCATAGACCTTGAACATATTTCACTCCTTAAAACTCCAACCTGTAGCCAGGTGTGGTAGCACACACCTGTAAACCTAGCATTTGGGGAGCAGAGGCAGGAGGATCGCTGCAAGTTTGAGACCGGCCTGGGCTAACTGATGAGTTTGAGGCCAGCCTGAACTGCATAGTGAGACCTTATCTCCAAAAGGAAAAAAATCCTACTGATAAACACAATTGAATGTAAAAAATGCCTGTTAGTTTAAAATAGGGTACAGTATGAACCTTTAAATTCAGAAATCAACATGACTGAAGCAAAGAAGTAAGTCCTCGGTGGTCTTATATCTGTACTCTAAGATTTACAAAGTTGAATTTTGTTGAAATATCAGCTCAGTCACATATTTAAAGATGTTTCCTGTGCACCTGCTCCACACCCTGGAAGGCAGCGGAAGCCATCTTGGACGTGGAGCTTGGATGCTGCGTGGCTTCACTTCGTTTGGTCAGCAGAGACATTGCACCATGGCATCCCTTGAGTTCTGCCTCTGTGTATTCACTCGCTAACCCACTTGATTTGGCAATTGTCAGTGCATGTTCCTCCAGTTACTGCCAGACTAAGCAAGCATTTGTGATTGGGTAGTCTGTCAGTGTAAGAAACAAACAAAACAAAAAACCTAAAAACTGAAACTTTAAAAACAAAAACCAAATCCTCTTCTCCTTCAGCCCAGAGCCTCCCTGACCAGCAAGGTAACCAGCCTCCTGTTGTTGGGCACCAGAGTTGTCCTCCATCTCTGGGAATGCTGTGCCTCTTTCTGTCTAACGTCAGCAGTGTTGTTGGGCTGGTGGGCAAGCATGTTACCAGCATGACTGGTGGCATGAATCAGCTTGCTTCCTACCAACAGCTTTGCAGCTTGCCTCATTCTGATTCGTATCTGTCTGGTTTAACACTTCCCCCAAGTTCAAACTTGTTTAGACAAAGCATGAGTCATTGCATGTGTTGCATGCCAGCATTCCATTTCCTCCTTTCTATTTCTAATTATCCATGTTGCCTCTTCAGATGTTGCCATACAACTTTTGACATCTGATTTGTTGTCATATGGATCCACTGTTGCTGTGTAAACATGTAGTGAATAGGTTGGAATTTTGGTGTTCTTAGAGCAGCTTCCAGTTGTCTTTGTGTTTTGTTTTGTTTTGTTTTTGGTACCGGGATCAAACTTGGGCCCTTGCTCCTTCGAGGCAGGCGGCAGAACCACTGAGCTAAATCCCCAGCCCACCTTTGTGTTTTTTTAACATCAGTATTTCCTTTTTCATGGAGACCAGTGGTTATTATGATCCATAAGTTAGTTAACTCTGCCAGTGATTTCACAGTAGCCAGAAGAATGATATAAACGTTAGTCATCATCTAAAGTAAGACATTTGAGTTGCAATTTAAAGTGAAAGCTCTCATCTGAGGGGAAACCTCAGCCAGGTGAGAAAGGAGGAGAAGCATAGAGAATAAACACAGCAGGGGTTGGGGCATCTCCACTTCCATCCCGCCCCTCAGCCTTTGTTGTAGAAACTACGCACACATCTGCAAAGAATAATACAGCATGCACTTTCCTCCTGTAACTCGGCTTCAGCAGTCACAGACTGTACTAGCTACGTTCCCATCATTGAGATGCAGTACCTGACACACAGCTTAAATGAGAAGTCAAGATTTGGCTCACAGTTTCCAAGGGGTTCAGTCCAAAGTCAGCCAGCTGTACAGCAGAAATGGCCTGGTGGAAGGACCTGGCAGAGTATAGCTGCTCATGATCCAGTGACCTTCCATGCTTGTGAGATTCTGGGGGACATTTTAGATCTAAACCACAACACTAACGTTCTGCTGTCCCTACTTGCTCTAGTCCTTGCCTCCTCCCTTCCTCCCGCACCTGATTTCATGTCTCTGTCCATCTCTAGTTCATAATCTGCAACACAGCATGACAAGGAGAGCAGTGTAATAGTCATAATGCCTTTTACAAGCCTATCTGTATCCGATGCCTAATACTCAGATTTCCTCAACGTTCATAAAAATGACACTTTAGGGTTACTCTGTTTTAAATCTGTTTCTAAACAAGGTCCACAAACAGTTTGATTGATGAGACTTATCGTAATGCCTCTTTTTCTAATGTATGCCATTTATTGAAGCAACAGGTCATTTGTTGTGTAGAAAAGTCACATATTTTCATTCCTGTGGTTTTGTTTTACTGTCCCCTGTTCCTCTTAAATTAGTGGCTAGATCCGAGGGGCTTGGTAGCATTCAGATTCACTTTGAGGCAAGCATGAGTTCTTCAGAGATGATGTGTAGTGTATTTTCTGTTGGATGACACTGGTTGTCCCGCTTGGTCTGATGTTTAGATCAACCATGAACACAGTGTTGTCTGTAATCCGTCCATTATGAAGTTCACCACCAGCTTTGTCACCTAATCTTTTAGTATCTATTGAGAATTCAAAATGGAAGTTTCCTGATTCTGCTGTTACTTCTCCATATAATTCAGTGTGTTTCTTCTATAAAAAAAACCTGTCTTCGTTGATGACTTAGTTATCCCAAAGTGCAATCTTTATGGGAAAGACCAATTATTATTTCAGTTGTTTGATGGCCTGACCATTTCCTTAAATGAATGTCGAGTGTGTTGTTTTTGTTTGAAATATACTGGATGTCTGTTAATCCATTGCAGTCACTACTTTTTTATGCCTAAGTTGCCCCATGTTAGGCCAGTGGGTGCTCCTTCCCGTTGGCTCCCGTGTCCTCTTCATAAGACCCTTAGTCCATGACGACTCCCTTCCTTTTTTGGCACGAGATGGCCACCTTGCTCGCTTCATAGGTTCCTGCCAAAACTGGGAACGGCTGCTTCTTTGAAGAGCCCTGTGAACTGCCTTTTAGGGTTTTTGTGTTTCACTTCATTAGTTTAAACTACAATGTAATTGTCTTCTTGGGCTGTAAGTACCTCGATGTTAGATAATCGGGTGGGGGTGCTGTGCTGCTAATGCTGGGGTGCATCTCACATCTTCCTGCTGCCATTGGGCTGAGTTTGGAGGCACTGGGTTTTTACTGGCAATTTAAATGTTAATGTGCTCTCCAGTTCGGTGCTAACAAGTTCTACAGCATAACTGTTTGCCTTGTACTCTTTGGTTTATGGTTTAGTCACTTAGATAGACTCGACAAACTTCCATCAAAACCTGCCCAACTTGTTGTCCCATACTCTTACCCTTGTCCCTCTTGTCACCTGCTTATTAAAGATAAGCAGAAATGAATTGCGATCAGCCATTTTGTGGGCAGGCATCTTAATCAAGAACCAGTCAGGATACTGGCCTAACTGATGCAAAGGAGGAATGGAGTTCTGATCTTGTTGAGGATCTGTGATGAACATACATACAACAAAAGGATAACACTGCTGGGTAACAAATTAGTGCCACAGGATTTCAGAGGATAAAGCCATGTTTGGTTAATAAACCAAAGGTTGGTTAAAAACGTAAACTTAAGATTGGAGATCCAGGTGCTTTAGGATTTGCATAGGCACAAAAAGAAAGGAAAAACCGAATAACAAATCACTAGGAACAAAGGCCCAGAGGCAGGAGTGAACACCATGTGATTGGCAGCAATAAGAAATACGGAATAAGCCGTATGAGTGACATCTGAAAGTTTTAGGGCAGGTTTAGGAGATAGCCTCATACCAGAGTGATAGATCCATTGAGGGGAAGACTAGACATTAACAACCCAGAAGTCTGTCCTTGGTTTGGTTGGCAAGAAGTAATTTTAAGCTCCTAAGCTGGAGTGTTGTTGATAAGCCCATGCGTTGGGTAGTTTGATTAAGATAGAGGCCTGAAGAAGGGATGGTTTGCACCTGTGCTGTCCAGTTATAGTAGCTGCTGATTGAATGTTAATGACTTAATTTTAAGTTAATTTAAATTAACATTTGAAAGTCAGTCCCTCAGTCATCCCAGGCAGATTTCAAGTGCTCAGTAGGAACATGTTGCTAGTAACTACCATAATGGACAGCACAGATACAGAACGTTTCCACCATCCTAGACAGTTCTGTTAGACCTGCTTTAGACCCAGGTATCCTAAACAGAATAATGATGCCAAATAGAAGTGAGGAAGCAGGGCCATTGCGGGAAGAAGGGTTATTTTGTGGCGGGAGATGATGGGTTTTTGTGAATTTATGGTAGGGGCCAGGGATTTTAGCTCAGTGGCACTGCACCTGCCTTGAAAGTGAAAGGTCCTGAGTTCGATCCCCAGTACCAAAAAAAAAGTATTTATGGTAGATAATTTAACTGAACTTGTCCAGAAGCAGCAGAAAATGCATAACTACAGTTTGGGTGTAGGCTTAAGGGGGAAAATAGAGTGGTGGTGGGAGCCATGAGATTTTATGGCTTTCCTTACAGGTTAGAGGCAGGAAGGAAGTCAAGACCTCAGCCAGGCAACAAATAGGAACTGTCAGATGAATAGAAAAAGAGCTGGGAGAATTTCTCTTGCCTGTTCTTAAGAGAAATATACAGGGCCGGGAATTTAGCTCAGTGGTGCCGCCTCCTGCCTCGCAAGCACCAGGTCCCAAGTTCGATTCCTGGTACCAAAAAAAAGAAAAAAACAAAGATGAAAGAGAATTAATAGCTGCATTGCAAAATAAAAACTAAAAAAAGAGAAATATACAAAGATCAGCACTGTCAGAACACTAAGTAGAAGGACCTTTGTTATCAGAATACATCGCTTGTTTTCATCAAGAGGGAGTCTTTGCTGGCCAATTAATTGTTTCACTAGAGTGTTGGGAGGTGGAACTGGACTGCAAGAAACCAAAGGAGCATGTGAACGGGAAAGAAATTAAGCCAACAAGTGCAGCTTGAAAAAGCTGCGTGGCCAAGTGGTCCAGTGAGAGAGAGTGTGATGCATGTGGGAAGCAAGAGGCTCCCTGGTCGGCTGACGGGATTTCTTTACAGTTGCAGGGAAGGGAGAAGTGAGAGCCAGCTGAGGTGAGAGGAGCTGTGCTTGGAGAGCTGCTGTCAAGGCACTGGAGCTGGGGCCCTCCCTGCGTGCCTCGTGGCCTCGTGGCTTTCTGTGATGGAGGGAGGCACTTTGTGAGGTCTGCAGGGCTAGGCTTTCCACTTCACAGTGTTGCATGTTGCTGAAAGTCTTAAAGCCCTGCTTTGAGTGTTGAATTGAAAGAAAGTATAAATACTATATATTTGATAGACCTATTTCAATACTGTGAATTTCTGAATTTGAAGGTATTTTGTTTTCTACTGGTTTTTTTTGTTTTGTTTTGGTACCAGGGATCGAACTCAGGTCCTTTCACTCGCAAGGCAAGTGACAGAACCACTGAGCTAAATCCCCAGCCCTTTCTACTGTTTTTTGATTCAGCTTTTGGTTCTTCCAGATATTGAGAGCATCATAGGTAGATGCTAAGCCCAAATGGAATGGTGTGACCCTAAATACAAGCTTCTAGATCTTGTTAAAGCTTAAACACTGAACTTCTGTTCACACAGTCACTCTTGGGACTGTTTTTCCTTGATTGAAGGCAGTGTCACCAGCCGGTGTGTGTGAGCTCTTGAGCAAGCTCCCCCGGGCCCAGCCTGTACTCTGAGAGAAACTCCTTTTGTAACCTGCTGTTGTCACTTAGTTTAGGGCCCATGTCTGAAACTTCCAGTTCTCGGACTTTGAAATGTTCACTGTTGAAGTTCTAAGAAATCAAGTCTGGCTTTTTGTGTGTGTTTTGTACTTACAGGTATGAATCTCCAGAAATAGCTCTAAATTGTGGAATAATGTTAAGAGAATGCATCAGACACGAACCTCTGGCAAAAATCATTTTGTGGTCGGAACAGTTTTATGATTTCTTCAGATATGTCGAAATGTCAACATTTGACATAGCTTCAGATGCATTTGCCACATTCAAGGTAACATAAAAACTAAGTACACGTGCAAGATCAGCAGGTGTGCTCTTTTTCCCCAATCTCTGCCCTCTTGATCTGCACACAGCTGCCCTCTAGTGGGAAGAGAGAAGATATACTTTATATGTGTTGGTGTGATTTTAGATATTTGCAGTAAGACTAGATTTAAAGGAATGAAAAAGTTAGGTTCTAAAGTCTATTAAAAAAGCAAAAGTTAAGGCTGGGGATTTAGCTCAGTGGCAGCACTCCTGCCTCAGAAGTGCAAGTTCCTGAGTTTGATCCCCAGTACCAAAAAAAAAAAAGGCAAAAGTCGAAGTGTGGTTAAAATTATTTCAGTTAAATTACCTATTAAGTGCAGTACACAGATACACAATACATCTGACAACCAGGCTTTCTCCTGTGCTGGGCCATTCTGGAGCAGTTGTTTGGTTAGCACCAGAGGAAGCAGCTGCTTCTGTGCAGGGCCGTGTTCCTGTGCATATCACTGCAGATCAGAGCCACATTCAGGCAGGGACAGCCACTCTGTTGATAGGCCCAAAGGAACCGTGGATTCCTCTTTCTGGTGCTCTTTCACACCAAAGCACATTCAATTCAGGGAGGGGACCGAATCACCTGCACTATTCCAATTATTATTTCCCTCCTCCTCTCCTCCATCTTACTTCCTTTATTGTGGATTTCTGTGAATTAAATACACATGGGATGTGATATCACTGTATAACCTATAGATTTTAATGTGAGCTGCAAGGTTCAATGCTGTTTAAATAAAGCAATTACCTTGTATTTGTTTTTTCCACCAATAAAAGCCTTAGAAGTATTTTAGTATAACCAGTATTTAGTACACTTACATTTAGACTACCTTGCCCAGAACGTGAACACTATTACGATGAGAAATGCTCTTTCCTTATGAGGGCTCAGCTGTGATTATAAGGAGCCCATGAGATAATAGGCACGCACCTTGGGCTCTGGGTGAAATGTGTACCTGAGAGTGCGTGAACACCCTCAAGGTAGGAGGAAGGCGGGGGGACTGGTCATTGGCATTTCACAAGGTCATAGTGAGAAAGGTGCCCAGAGATTTTCTTAAAACTGTGGAAGAATTCAGTGGTTCCGGGGCCTGCCTCGAAAGCGCAAGGTCCTGAATTCAATCCCCGGTACAAAAAAAAAAAAACAAAAAAAAACTGTGAAATAAAGTATCAGAAGCTGTAGGTAAGTCCTTAGTGTGTGAGTGTACAGAGCAAGACAAAGTGAATTTGAGATTATAACCTAGAGTGGTCACTGTGATGTCTTAGGTGTCACCCCAGTGGTGGGCTAGGACTCATGAGTAGCATGCACTGATGGAAGGGAGTGCCCCATTCAGAAGCAGCAGCCTGGCATGAAGGAAGTACAGTGACACCTTGTGTCAAGGAGAAGGTCCTCTTTGTGGAAGGACAGCCAGGATCCCAGGAGTGGCAGCACTGGGCGCATGAGGGTGAGAGAAGAGGATTGAGGAGAGGCAGTGGTGTGGGAGACTCAGCCAGACCCCTGACCATGTGGAGGACAGGCTCCTGGCACAGATGGCCAAACCGGCTCCAAGGTGGGAGAGAGGTGCTGGCTGCACACTGGAAATGTGGCCTCTGACAGAGTCCTGACTGGCCTGGCTGATGACTTCATCCCAATTAAGGTTGCTTCTTTCCGTGAACTCGTACCACGGAGAAAATGGTGGTGATGGAATCCCTGTGAGTAACAAAGTCATGTCAGGTCTTGGTATCCAGAGAGGGACACATTAGGCAGAGCCAGGTAGGCGGTCTCCAGTTGGAGAAGGGAAACTTCAAACTTAGGATCCTAAGGGTGAGCGCTAGCAAAGAGGGTCACAGAACTGGCCTGGCATCTGTTTCAGGTGCTCCTGATCGCACAGTCAGGGAGAGCTCAGCAGGCTCCTGAACACAGGCCTCTCCAGGAAACAAAGCGGGGCCGCTGGCCAAGACAGTATGTAGGAGAGAGGCTCAGACCTGCTGTCCTGCCCCCCCCCCACACACACACACGCCCACACCTCCCTGCGGAAGACTCCGGCTAGGGTAGGGGCAGCTGGCAGCTCCGCAGCAATGCTGACAGAGGGAAGGAGAAGCCTCTGCTGCCGTTGCTTGCGGGCGACAGCTTTCTAGTGCAAAAAGACAGTAGCTCTGTCGTCCTCTCCTTTGAGAATGCACAAGAGCGCTCCCCTCAGAGAGTGCGCTCTATGCACAACAGTTTGAAACACAAGTATCTGTCCACCACCCTGCATGTGGAATCCCCGCAACAGATGCTCAGTCTGAAAGGAAGTTAAACTGCTCCAGATGTGTCCAAGGCTCGTAGCTTGAGTAATAGACACAGAAATAATAAAACCAGATGGCCAAATATTTGTTAGTGGTTTTCCTTGTTTTGTTTTGAGGAATTGAGATGGGGGGAGGGCATTAAAAGGCGAACAAATATATTTCCAGTTTTCCAGAATAAAAGAAAAGAGATACCCCCAGAGAGGCTGTTGGAGCTTGAAGCTGTGTAAGGTTCTAGAAAGTATTTCTAAAGAGATGATTTCTGAGCATTTTGGAAAGGAAACATGTACCCAGCATGGATTCACTAAGAGCAAGTGCAGTCGTGCTGATCTCATAGATGCCAGTAGGTCCGGGGCTCAGGGGCACAGTCGTGCCTGTCTCAGACCTGCTGGGGATTTACCCTGCACCTCCACATCTGTAAGATGTAATAATGCACGTACGTGAGAGTTCTCGTCCCTCCACAGTCTGCATGCAGTGTACAAGTCTGTCAGGTGACTCAGGACAGTGAGGGCATGCTAGGTACTGAGTAATTCTACAAACCCATTCTCTAGAAAGAGTAGAAAGGAGATGGGTGGAGATTCAGCACAGTGGTTCACAACCCACTGAGTGTTGTATGCATCTGTGTTGGCAAATGAGTTGTCATCACTCTGGAGAGAATTTTCGAGCATGTCTATACTGGGCTTTGTCTCACCTGGCCCTGCTAACATTTTTACTAATGACAAGGCATACTTTCCTAATGTGTAGGTGCAGCCATAAGGGAAAGAGAGTGGAAAGAATGGATCCTAAAATTCTTAAAAATTCAGAAAGGCGAGGATAGAACAGGATGAAACTGAAGTATTGACTCTGGAAGCCTTCTTAGCAAAGGGCTTTTGTCCTGGTGTGCATTGGCCGCAACTCCTGCACCAGCCGTTCTCACAGTGCCCCTTTTAATCCCTCTACCGAAAGGCCATTGAGACTTCATTCCTAGGTGATAAGAGACAGATGGGGAGATGTTGGAGGTCCCCCTTTTGTGTGTGGCCCAACTATGAGCCTCTTGCTCCTGCTTTACATACAACCTTCAAAGGGAACAGTCACTTTACTAGAAACTGTCAGTAAAACTAAGACTGTTGCCTAGCGTGGTTACACCTTGAGGCCCTTGGCTGGAGAGAGCGAGTGTTTTGTCCCTGTCCATTCCTGAGACTATACCCAGGCTCACTCGAGTGCCAGTGTCTCAGGTCGCCTCTCCCTTGGTGGTGTCGCTGTGCAGATTGTGACAGAACATACATAAGGGGCACCACCCTAGACAAAGCGGGTCTCAGCTCAGAGGGTGACAGGTGCTCCTGGCGGGCGTCACAGAAGAGCTCCCCTCAACCCTTGAGACCTTGCGGGTCACTACAGGAACTGGAGCTATAGCATTCACACACATCGCTGTGGGACGCTTCTTAGGGTTCTCAGGCCAGGAGGGCCCTGCACCAACCTTAGAAGCAGCAACCATTGTAACCTGGCAGCCTTCGTCCTGAACAGGGAGAGAAGCCAGGCGAGTTGGTTGAGACAGACGGGATTGCCGGCACTCACCTGTCTAGTGGGTGGTACTGAAAGAACTTCACTCACTGACTTGCTAAATACCAGCTAGGCCATCTGCTTTGCTCGCCCGCTTTCTCCCACCTGCTGAGACCAAGGCTAGTCCATAGCGAACTTCCAGGCTCCTAAGGCACAGGTGGTGTTTTTTTGTCTTTGAGGCCCCAGCACCCAGCATTTTTCCTAGCACGTGGTAGATTATTTCCGATGGTCCTTGAGTTGCTTCTTGGGGAGAGGCGTAAACTGTTAGAGTAGCAGTGCAGAGGCAGACTATAGGTCACACGAATTAAGTCCACATTTTTGCAGTATTATTCTGCTTCCTTAAGAGGTGATATTTATAAAATGATAGAGCTTTAAAAAAATTCCACATCTGAAAAAAAGATTGCATTAGATTTGACACTGAATGTAAGTGAATTTGGGAGGAAGAGAGTAGAACAACCTTCAGCGCTTTTTGGTTTTTGGGGGGCGGGGGGGGGTCCCTTTTTTTCACTTTTCTTTTTTGGTACCAGGAATCGAACCCAGGGCCTCATACTTGCCAGGCAGGTGCTGCGCCACTGAGCTAAATCCCCAGCCCCAGCGCTTTTTCTTTTTTTTTTTTTTTTTTGGTACTGGGGATCAAACTTGGGTCCTTGCACTTGCAAGGCAGGCAGCAGAACCACTAAGCTAAATCCCTGGCCTCCCAGCGCTTTTTCTAATAAAAGAAATTTCCTCTTTCTCTCCTAGGACCACTAAATGGGCTCAGAATTTTATTTGACATTTTATGACAACTGTTTACTTTTATTTTACTGCCTTACTCCCTTTGTTATAGTTTATATTTCCATGTCCTCTTTATTTTTCACTGTTTCCTTTTAAGAATTATGGAGCCATGTCTAATAATCATTTAATTTGTGATTTCAAATTATTAATTTTATTTACTTTTACATAGAATCAGCATGTTTACTATAATCCATGCACAAATGTTAAGTACTTGTATGGTAATGTTTAACAAATTTTTAACCAATAAAATGCAATTAAATGTTTTAGAATTTTTTCTTGAACTTCAATGAACAACTTAAATTGTTTTTTCTCTTTCTAGGATTTGCTTACAAGACATAAGTTGCTCAGTGCAGAATTTTTGGAACAGCATTATGATAGAGTAAGTATATGAAATATTGCGCCAGAATATTTATTCTGTATATATAATATAACATTTATAAATGTTGCTGCTGCTCCTCTGCTGAACCAGTAGAGAAAGTTACTTGGTCAGAAGCAGAACTTGGTCTTTTTGATTAACCCACTGCTCTTTGCGTCTTTTCTTACATTAGAAGATGAAAGTGGGTACTTGCTGCTGAGTGATAGTACAGCAAATGTAAAAGGAGGATTATTACCTGACTTTTAAACTTTTCCTTCCTTTTCCACCAGTGGCTGCGTCCGGATAGCAGGGGGCCAGCCACGGCTGAGGGCATGAGAACAGCGCTGAGGGGGGTGGTGCAGAACCCCAACTCCGTCCCGTGCTTCACTGCTACCTGCTTTGCAGCTATGGCCAGCAGTTGCCACAGGGGGACCTAGAAGTTCTCCCTTGCTGTAAGCCCAGGGCACTGGCTTAGTCCGTCAGTAAGTCTCTGGAGCTCTGAGTCAGTCGGGCATCCCTGGTGATGGTGGACCCCAGAGGCCTGTAAATGAATCTGCGTGCCCTGAGGACCCGGCGCTCCTGCCTGCCAGTGAAACCACCCCTGGGCTGCAGCATTGCATGTTCTCTTCCGCTGCGCACAGGCTCTGCTTTCTGCCAGAGCTAGAGGGATCCCCTAACACCCACAGTGCTTTCCTGTACCACAGCAGCTTAAAAAAAGAGAAAACCAACCAGCAGGAAATCTTAACTTGCATTTTCTTCCATGAAGATGGGGTGTACGCACTTTGTGTCACTAATTCAAAGGCAGATCCAGCTGTTTTGATCATCAGTTTGATGATGATTTGAGAGGAAAGTGGGTCACCAGGCTTTTCCTGAGAAGAGCAGTCTACCTTGCCAGCATGTAGGTTAGATGGCTGCCCTAGCTCTGCCTCAAAGCAAGCAGAATAGAAGGGCTTGGGCGGCTCTGCGTTAGCCTTGAGCCAACAGGGCCAGATCATAAATATTTGAGACTTTTTGGGCCGTGCAGCCTGTCCACTGTCCTGTCTGTGGTACTGCAAAAGCTGCTGTAAACCATCCGTAAATACATACATGAATTAATTCACACTAAACGAACGAGCGTGCCTGGGTTCAGTAAAATTCTATGTACAAAAACATAGAAACTAACAGGCTGGTTTGGGCCCATGGGCCTCCCTTTGCCAACCCCTGCTGTAAACCAGGTGAATAGCTGGTGAGGCCCCATCTGAAAGCAAAGGTACACATGGGGACAGGTGATAAAGCAGGCATCCTCTAGCACAATGATGGCAAAGATTTTAGGGACGAGGGCCCAAACCGTAATCCAGAACCCACTTACTTATCGCAAAGTGCCAGCACTGCAATTAAGCCCAAATACTGAGGTTTTAATTTAGAAAAAATACCTCACTCATTATCATCTTTCCTCTTAAAAGAAAAACAACATGCGTGTCATGGATTGGCCACCACAGCCCTGGCGCCTGTCACGTATCACAACCAGTGAAAAGTCAGGGAAGCAACAGAGTTACGCTAGTTCTGCAAATGTTTAGACCGTTTGAAACCTGTCCATAGCTAAATAGGAAAATATAATGGCCTTGTCCACCAAGTGCTTAAAGGACCCCTCTGCCCATCAGTTCATTCCCTGCCTGCCTTCTTTTGGATCCCAAGTGCTGAGATGGAGCCAGGCTTCCTGAATGCTAACTCAGCTCTTGCTCTGCCCAGCCCCGGGCCCAGCCCCGAGAGCTCCTGCTCACCCTCAGCATTCCAGCTGCTGTGAAGGTCTCAGGCTCTTTAGCTCTCCGATCAGAGCACTGGACACTCCCAGGTCTGCCCTCAGGCTGTGCTGGTCCCTGTGTACCCCAGGGAGAGCTTTTCTCCCTCTCGTTTCTCCAAGGTAGAGCCTAAATCTCGCCTTCTCTGGCGCTTCCTATTTCATACCGTGCAATCCTCAATTTCACTCCATTAAATATGAGAAAGAACAGCTAACTTTTCTCTTTGTGGTTGACTTTGGACAAATTGAGTTCTCATTCATAAAAAATAAGAATAAATGAAGGCTGACTCATCTGTGGGGAATCATCAGGGCAGGGTGCTATTCTGTGCATGTGGAATTGGTGGTGGGGGCCTGACTGGAAGCTGTAGGGGATGGATGGGTCCCAGGAGGAATTGATGGCCTGGTCACCCCAGGGCCTCCAGGGCATCAGGAAGCTGTGGGAGTCTGTGGCAGCACAGAGTAGAGGTGACTGCTGGCCTTGGTGGTGGTGGGACTCTGCCCTCGAACTTTATAACGTCATCTACCAGTCTTTGTTCTCAAATAACCCTGATACGTTTTCTTGTCTTTTAGTTTTTCAGTGAATACGAGAAGCTCCTTCATTCAGAAAATTATGTGACAAAGAGGCAGTCACTGAAGGTATGACAGATTCTTTTTTGATTGGTTTTAAACAGGGCCTTGAATCTGTGTAACCTGGGCTGGCTCAAACTCAATCCTCCTGCCTCAGCCTACCAAAATCTGAGATTATTAAGTGTGGACCACCATACCCAGTTCGGACAGATTCTCTATTTCACGTCATTTATCTCTTCACCCTGTGTCTGAAGTTTGGATTTGGGGAAAGGAAGACATGTGGATATGAGTTGTAGAATATTGGAGGAAAATATATTTGCCCATGGTCGGGATTTTTGCAGAAAAGCATGGCAGTTAAGCAGTGGTTCGTGTGTGGCACCTGCCCATCTTGTAAGCAGAGACACCAAAAGACAATGTACCGAAATTTGAAGAGGACTTCACAGTGTAGATTTTGAAGCCTGTCTTTAAAATTTAGGGTCATGACAGGCCAGGAATTTAGCTCAGTGGCACTGCGCCTGCCTCAAAAGCACAAAATCCTGAGTTCGATCCCCAGTACCAAAAAAAAATTTTTTTTTTTTTAAATAAAATTTAGGGTCATGCCAACTAAACAAAGGCCATCTAGGAGTCGTGTGCTCTGGCTGCTGCCTGCACAGCACAGGCTTCCTCGGGGGAAGGGACAGTAGGCGAGGCCTGAAGCTGTGACCCATCCATAGTTCCGGCTGCTTTGTATCAGAGCAGGATGTAGACAGTGCCAGCGGAAACCTTAAAATGTTCAACTCAAGATGTAGACTCTACGACAGGTTGGCAAATAATGGCCCAAATCCATGCGCCACACCCAGCCAGCTCCCTGTTTTTGTAAGTAAAGGTTTGAAGGGGCACAGACTATGCCCACATACATAGTTAGGGCTATTCAGGCCATGGCAGCAGATCTGAATCGCTGTCCCAGACATTGTGTGGCCTACAGAACCTGAAACATTTACTCTTTGCCACTTACAGAAAGTCTGCTGCCCCCTGCTCCAGAAAATTCCTATAGTGGTTAATAGTGCAACCCCCCATCCTGTCAGTAAGTGGTCCTGACAAGAACTACAGTGTAGACAGAGTCACAAAGGATTGGGGTGTGATTTCATTGGAATGTTTTGTCGGGTCCATTTTAAATTCAGCTCTCCCCTGAGTTCTACCCTCAGAGGTCTCTGAATTCATATTGATAAAGACTCCATTTTTTTCTTCCCCTTCCAGCCATGGAAGGAAAATCTCACCTGAAGGGAAATCTCACCTGAAGACCGTATCTGTGGAAAGATACAAAAAGGACATTAGGAGGGAGCATCTATCATGCTTTGTGTCCTTTGATAAGAATGCCCTCTGCCCTGCAGATACCAGTTGGAACCCTTACATCTGACCAGCTGCTTCCTTGTTTTCCCTTAAGGCTGTAACTGCTGCAGTCAGGGAGCAGTGACGGCCCCAGCTTGGGAACACAGCACTACCGAAATAGTCCGGGCAGGCCCAGCGCTCTGTTCATTGCCGTGACAAAGGCCACCCTCCCAGCACCCTCTTAGCCTGGTGCAGAGAATCCTCACCTTAGCCCTCGTCCCAGTCTCCAGTATTGTGATTAGACCATCGTCTGTTACTCTGATGGCTGCTAAGGATGGCACTTCCTTCTGCAGAGTTCATGAGGAAGTATGGCAGCTGCTGGAGCTGCTGCTCCTCTGCATGATCAGTGTGATGGGATGCAAGTCCCCCATGTCTTCCCAGGTCACATAATCTCCGGCTCTGCCCAGGTCACATAACCTGCACAGCTTGGAGGAGCCTAAGGCCAGACAGGAGACCCTAGGATAGTAGCTCCCAGGGCCAGTGCCTCTTCACTGGGAAGAGGAGATTTACTGACAAATAATAAACCTCTGAAGGAATTTTGGACCCTTCGACAGCTTGGATAAGGAGGGAGAAAAAGACCCTTTTGCCATTCGGAATTACCAGCATAAAAAGGAAGCTTGGGGCTGCTGTTCATAAACCGTTAGTAATGGAGACAAAGCAGACCTTTCATTCCTGCAGTGAATTCAGTGTGGGAGGCCACATGGAGTATGTCACAAACATGTGGAGCAGTGGTACTTCATAGATGAAGTATGATTTGTACTCTTTTGGGCAGCTGTATTGGCATTATTTTACCGATGTTTGTTTCTGTGATATAATCAGCTCTACATAAGTCATTCAGCCCTGAAGTAGGCAGAGGATTTCAACTTAGTGATACCAGGAGTGGCGATGTGGATTATCTGTGGAGACTGTGCTTAAAGAACAGGAGAGTCCTAGCTTTATAGGCCTTTCCCAGTCAGATGTTAAAATGATACCTTTGGCTGGTGTGGTGGTGCACAGCCATAATCCCAGCACTGGGGAGGCTGAGGCAGGAGGATTGCAACTGAGTTTGAGGGCAGCCTAGGCTACATAGTGAGCTCAGGGATAGCTGAACTACAGAGCAAGACCCTGCTCAAAAAAAGAACCTTTGGTGTGTGGAGGGGTCAGGGTATGGAAAATTGTGGCTACGAAACCCTTCATCCCTGAAAGTCCAGCTAAGTACAATTTAAAACAAATGAAATTTTTTAAATGACGCTGAAGCTAGTTAACAGGAATTGCCAATAACTTCCCTTGCATGTTTTCTCGGGTAGTTTCTTCATGGGTTTCCACAGCGCACAGTTAAGGAGTGGGCTTGGACAGTCTCCAACCCAGGGCCACCACCTGACACAGCGCACCCCGGGCTGGGCCAGGAGCTGCAGGGAGCGGCAAGGGGCTGCTATGTTTAACACTGATTTTTAAACTTTGGGTTTGCTTTAAATCTTAATAGCAATGTAAGATTAATTGTTTAAATATCTTCTCAGCTTCTTGGTGAATTACTGTTAGATAGACACAACTTCACAATTATGACAAAATACATCAGTAAACCTGAGAACCTGAAATTAATGATGAACCTTCTGCGGGACAAAAGCCGCAACATCCAGTTTGAAGCCTTTCACGTATTCAAGGTAGAGTACAGATTGTTCAGTCACCTTTCGTATTTGTGTGGTACAGCACTTAAACAAAGACGGACTTGGAAACAGACAGGCGTACTGCTTGGATTGGGAGCAAGTGTGTAGAGAGTGTCAGTGATCTTCGGCACAGAGCATTGTTCATCACTGAGTAAAAAGTCTTTCTTAATGCTGTCCATGGCACTTTTATTCTTATAATCCAGTCAGGCTTGCTGTGGCTGGAAATTATTTCCTCCCACGTTACTCTGAAATCAGTCTATATTTAGTACTGACCACTGTATTTCAAGACTGGCAGAATGAGCCGGCAGTCCTCTTTGTGTTAAGACATTCTAGTTTTTCTCCATATTGTATAAAATAGGCGCTTCTAAAGCTGAAACTACCCTGGCTTCCCTGCTGTCCCCTGACCCTGTGGGGCACCGGGTTCTCCTCTGTTAACGGGTGGCTCTCTCTACGCAGGTGTTTGTGGCCAACCCCAACAAGACGCAGCCCATCCTCGACATCCTCCTCAAGAACCAGGCCAAGCTCATCGAGTTCCTCAGCAAGTTCCAGAACGACAGGACCGAGGACGAGCAGTTCAACGACGAGAAGACCTACTTAGTCAAACAGATCAGGGATTTGAAGAGACCAGCGCAGCAAGAAGCCTAATTTCCAATAAACATCTAAAATACTAAATCCAAATTCAGCATTTGCTGTTAGCTATTCAGCATCAGGCACTCTTTTCAATTCATGAGGAACATTACTGCTAATCTGCTGTTAAGTGAACGGTTTTTCATTTTACCATTTTGTTTTTCAGTCCAGGTTGGAGAACGTAGCTGCTGCCGCTTGCACACTAGAGCACACGTGGGCTTCCTCTTGGTCTTTGTGTTGTTTCAGAATTCAGAGACTCTGCTTGCTGGGGAGTCTGACCATGGGGGGCTTGTGAAGGACTGGAAGGGGAGCGCGTGCGGGGAAGAGGACGTGGGTAGGGTCGGCTTAGACCTGTGTGCCTCGCTCCTCTGGTGAAGACCTGCGCTGTGTGGTGTGCGCACCTGGCTCCTTCGTCAGATCCTTCGCTGCCTCCAGGGGAAGAGCGTGTGCACAGAGCTGTGCTGGACGCCAGGGGGGAGCGCTGTCTGAGATGCGAGCTTTGGGGGTGGATAGGAAGTTGATGTGTGAATAAATTGATACTGAAACTTAGCAACTTTTCAAAGGTGTGAAGCTTAATAAGGTCATAAGGAAAATGTATATATGCTTTTCATGGCTTTAGAACTTTTTGACATTTGATTTTCTTGAGACTTGTAAACCTGGATATGTTGAAGGGTATTTGTTAATTTTACTTTTTGAAGGTATTTTAAAACAGTAGAGCTAGCAAAGACACCTGGCATTTCATTTCAACACTGCTTACAGGTTTCTTTTGTATATAATTCTTAGGATGCTCATTTCTTTTAAAAGGTTTAATTTGTACAGCAGAGGAATGTTATTGTAGTAGTATGTAACTATTACCTAATACTGAGTTTTTGCAACAAAAAAAAATGAATGCTCATATGTAATTGAAATACTTCAGATCACATGAAAATGCTGATTTAACATTTAAGGATCACAGCATTAAAAGAAAAAGTAAACCAATCCTTTGTATTCAGTCACCTAATGGGTGCCCTTAGTAGGCGGCACCATGGACCGGAAACTCAGTCCGTGCCACTCTCCTGCGTAACATTGGCCTTCCTCATGTAAACCGAGCCACAGGTTTGCCAGATGGGTGGGCGATGCGGGTTACGCTAGACTGACCCCGATGCTCCGGGGTCGGGCCTCTGACGCACCTTTTTCTTCCTGGAGTGCGTAATCCAGTACAGTAGTTGTGAACTGAGTAATTAAAACTTTGGCTTCTCTTAGAAAGAGTTCCTAGTCATAGGTGTCCTATGGGGAGATTTATTTTTTTTAATGTCCTGTTCCGTAATGCTGCAAATTATCAGTATTTATAAAGTACCTGATTTTGCACCACTTTTTTGTTCCTGTGACCACGGCAGAACAATGTCTTCTAGACTGTGTCATTAGAATGGTATCTGTTCATCTTAGCTATACGAAGATCACAAGTAACAGTTTCTGAATCAGAGTTTGCCAGTTTGAATTCAGCATGGCTGTAGCTGATTTAAAAATTTATATCATTATTCTTTGCTAGCCTGTCTTACTAATTGAATTATTTATTGGCCAGTAAAATGAGCCTTCCAATTGATGCTCCAGCAGCTTTTAAGATCTTCAAGGAACACCAATTAGGAAAACCTCTCCAGAAAATACAGATGTATTTTATCCTGTGTAATTTAAGGGGCAGTCCTCAGTAATTGGTTTTTCTGAGGCTGTCTTTACAAATATCTAAGTGAAATAATTCATGTTCTCTACCGGAAGTAGGGAAAGCATTTGGTCGCCTCAAAGAGAAAATCCCTCAGCTGTCAGGAAGGCAGACTCGCCCTGGGACGTGCGGTTATCATGGCCTCGTGCTGTGTGTCAGCCGCAGCATGAGAGCAGTGATTACACGGAGCCGAGAGATGGTCCTTTGCCGAGCCGGTTCTCAGAACCTTGCACGGAGCGGCTTCTGCTTGGGCAGCTCCGTGGTAGCGCTAGAGCCTCTCGCATGGAAGACGGTGCCGTGTGTCAGAGTGAACATTCGTGTGTCACCAGCGCAGTGCAAGCTGAAGGTAGTTAGATTTTCTGGGTTTTTGTTTTTAAAGCAATATGAAAATACTCAAATTTGAAACTTGCATTTGAAGTTATGATTTAATATTTTCATATTACCAAAACTATTTGGACGTGGTTTCTGTGTTGCAAAGGTTTAATTTTACTGAAGGAAGTTACTTAATGTGATTTTTTTTAACCCTTGGGGAAAAAAAAGTGAAGATGTAAACAATTGTTTATGAAAGCATTTCCTTCCTCCTGAGGAAAAGTGAATTTATCAGAATATCTGGCTGGCCCTGTAATTTAAATTAAAATAAAATTTTGGAGAAACACCAGTGTCCATCTTCATAGTGTCTTTTAGACAGTTGCTTTTGTATCATTGTGAACAGCCCCATCAGGAGGCACAACCACAACTTTTGTCGCAAACTGAACGAGACAGTTTAGCACACACACCTCTTTTGCCCATGTGAGATTCTGTACGTCAGAAGTGCAGTTTTTGCTCGCCTTCCCCCCGTGACGTCTGTATCTCAATACAACACGGGCCCCATCGCATTGCCTACCTCGTTCCACAGTTGAGCGTTGCCCCGTCAGCGGCCTGTGACCTCTGCCATTTCCTTCCAAGGCTCACTGACTGCTGCCAGGAGGACTGGGAAGTTGCTGGGCTAAGTGAAAAGGGAGGTGCGGGACTATGCAGGTGAGTGTCTTCCTTCCGGGACACCTGCAGTCCTTGTGCGCACCTGGACTCAGCTTCTTCCCCTTGTCAGTGAGTAGGGGAGGGCTGGAGACAAGCCCTGGCCGCAGACTTCCTCCGAGGGGCAGCGCGGCTCCCTGCTCTCGATGAGCTGTGACCTGTGACTGCGTTTATGAAGGCACCGCACTAAAGTTCAGCTCCCCCCTTCCTCCCGGCTACTGGCCCAGCGCCCTCCTCCCCTTGCAGCAGAGCTCCAGCCCTTGAGCCTTGAGTTCCTGATCTACCAGCCCCAGGCAGGTGTGGCCTCATGGGCACCTGAGGGAGGCTGCAGTGCTGGTACCTCGAGGCTGGAGCCATTCCCAGGTCTCAGTGCTCCTGAGGTGCATTTGAAGGAAGAGGACAGCCCAACTACCTCAGGCTGCCCAGATTTCGCAGGTGTCTGCTCCCTAGTTGGGAGCAGCAGCGCTAAGTTCCGGCTCCATACGGAGCTTTCACTGGCTCGTGTCCACTCTACCAGCTTTTCCCAAGATCAAGTCCCAAATGAGCATTGAAAGCCTTGTTTCCGCGTCTGCTTCTGGGGACACCCACACTAGCTCCTGGCCCGAGTGTTCCTTCTGCCGAGCTGGAGGCCTGCACCTTGCCCTGACCCCAGCTGGGCAGGTCCTCCCTGTTAGAAGAGGAAGGGGCAGCAAATTGAGGGGAGACTGACAACCCTGTGAGCACCAGAGCTTGACACCAGGAAGTGAGTGACCCTGCATAGCAGGGCTGCTGGTGCCCACAGTCTGCTGGCCCAGGGGGCTTCCTGAGGCCCAGACACACGCTGGTCGCCCCTCACCACGGCCCAGTCCGCTGAAGCCCCTGGACTCATCTTTCAGAATCTGCTAGGTGGAGCACACCTACCCACAGCTCTCCCTCCAGTTGTCCTTCGTGGTCATCAAACATGCTAACAACGCTGAGAAACTCCCGGTTCTCTCACAGTCTGCCCCTTCCAGAAAGAACTTTTTTGAAAGCTATAGGATGGCCTTAACGAGTGATAACACAATTAGGGAATGGGACCTTGGGGAAGGGCCAGCTAGGTCTGTGTGGAGCCGGGCCTGCCCCTTGGCCACCCAAGTCCGTCCTTTCTCCTGCAGCCACATATGTCCTTATCTTTCTCAATTTTTTTTTCCAGTACTGGGGATCGAACTAAGGACCTTGTGCTTGTGAGGCAGGCGGCGGCACCACTGAGCTAAACCTCCGGCCATTTTGCTGTTTATTTCTACCTTCATTCCGCTACGATAGGCAGGGGATTGTTTTAATTTTTTGTATTTACTTAAGCATGCTTGAGGATCTAAAATAGGATGTTTTTGGAAAAGCAGTCATATTTTCAAAGTCCACTGGGGGGCAGTGGAGTCCCTTGGTGTTCAGGCAGCGGCTGAGCTTGTGGGCGGGGCTTTCTCAGCAAATCTGGCCGTGACAAATAGGAAAGGACCACGTAGTGAGTTCAAGGCCACCCTGGACTACACGGTGAGGCCCTGTCTCAAAAGAAAAATCAAGGGGAAGGCGCACTGGCCTTGTCCTCTGCCCCTCCTGCTCTGAGGCTGCCCGCCTGCTGGGATGGCCCGGCCCGGGCGGCGCATTCTTCTTCTCCTCCTTGGTCTGCTGTGCCCACAGGTCCCTGCAGCCTGAGGGACGCTGAAGTGGTTTCGGGGCCACCACGCAGGGTCGGCTGACGGGGGTGACGCTCTGTGCCACACTGGGCCTGACACATGATGCCGGACAGGGCAACTTTAACGGCGTCCGGGCTGAAGAACAAACTGGCGGGGGCGCAGGGCCTGCTGGGGCTCAGCGCATGCGCACCACTGATCGGCACTGCGAAGACCAGAGGGCATGGATAAGGAGCTGAGAATCACCAACGTTGGGGCTTAAAGTAGAGGCTTGGGGGAAAGACTTAAAGAGAAACCTAAACAGAACAAGTTGAGCCGATGGCTGGTGTTTCAACAGGCGATCTCTGGAAGATGCATCAGAACCCATCCATGTCAAGGACCTGTCGCCCTAACGGGCTTCGGGATTCGGACCGCATCAGAAAGAAGAAAATCACCTCGGACAGGGCCGCAGGGTGCTCTGGTGGTGAGCGGTGCCTTCCAGGGACGCACGAAGCTGCTTTCACGAGCACCAGTTAGGAGGCTGCACGGAGCTGGTAGTGCGGGCAGAGGGGTCCTGGGCCTGAAGAGGGGACGCCAGCCTGGGCGCCGGAGCTCGGACTGGGTGTGACTTGCACGTTCAAAACCGACGGCTCCCCGGAGAGGAGTCAAAAGATGAAAAAACGCGCAACTCAGTTCCTGTAGGACACTTTAAAAGAAATTGAACGGACGCGAAATCAGGTGTTCATATATGACGTCTACAAGCGAAGACGTCTTCTCTGAGATCAGGGAACCCAGAAAGGGGGTGTAGGAGGGGTACTGGCTCTAGCAGGAACTTCCTGTTCTTCCTGAATTACAGAGAAAGAAATTGCAAGGCTGAGCGTGGTGGCTCACGGTTGTACTCAAGAGGCTGATGCAGGAGGGTCACTGCAAGTTCGAGGCCAGCCTAGGCTACATAGTGAGTTCAAGGCCACCCTGAAGTACATAGTGTGACCTTGTCTCAAAGAAAAAGAAATTTAATGTTCACCAAGTAGCAGACCTGGAGCGAATTTACCTTGTCACAATAGGGGAGAACATTTCAAAGCAGACTTCAAGATCAGCCTGTTGATTCTGAGGTTTGGGGGACTAAGTATCCACCCAGGACCTGGGGCCTTTAAAGGACATGATGTAGTCAGAACGCCAAGTGTTACAGATTCCCAGGCTTGCTCTTTTGTGTAGACATCAATAATAACAATAGAAATATATATATCCCTTAGAGCCCCCAAAACAGGCGGCGACTCAAGCATCTATAGGCAAGGACACCCGGAAGGGGAGGTCCGCGCAGACGCTCAGCCAGGGTGGCCACCAGGGGGCGCAAGCGGCACCTGTTCGTCTCGGGCCAATCCCGAACCGCACGGGCCTGCAAGTCTGTCCAGGTCCCCAGTCAGGACGGGGCCTGGCCCTCTCCGAAGTTCCTGGATAGAGGTTGGCGGTAGAAACGCGGCAAATACCAGGCCAGGGGGAAGTGTGTGACCTGCGTAAAGAAAGACACAAAATGGTTTTTTTTACCTTATTTCCCCGAAAATAAGACCTAGCTGGAAAATAGCCTTGAAAACTAGAGATCAAAATTTTAGCAGTCCAAAAATTTAGCAAAAGAACATAACGGTTACGTTCATTGTAGGGAATTGGCGTGAGTACATAACTCATCTGAAGTCCTTTTATACCCCTTCCCCTCCAGTCCCCTTTTTTTGGCCGGCATCGGATTCATTTATTTATCTTTAAGTCCTACAGACTTAATTATCATACATACAGATTAACAGCCAGGCAAAAAATACATAAAACACATAAGACAATTCTATTAAATCAAGGTACATTTTTAGATACATTGTCCACGCTGGATTACAATAACTTTTCTCTTTTATTTTCCTATTGTCTGTCTTGTATTTTATTTTATTTTATTTTATTTTATTTTATTTTATTTTATTTTATTTTGGTACAGGGGATTAAACTCCGGACTTTACGCTTGCTAGGCAGGTGATGGAACCACTGAGTTAAATCTATGGGCCTTTGTCTGTCTTTTATATTGCACTTTATTTATATGAGTTCATTAGGGTAGGCCTTGTTCCAATATGACCATGTTCTGATGAAAGGAGAAATTAGGACACAGACACACACGGGAACACTGTGTGGAGATAAAGGCAGAGGCTGTGCATGGTGGCACTCGGGAGGCTGAGGCAGGAGGATTGCCATGAGTTTGAGGCCAGCCTGGGCTACATAGCAAGATCCTGTCGCAAAAGCGGGCCAGGGATTTAGCTCAGCGGTTTCGCTGCCTGTTGTGCAAGTGCAAGGACCGGAGTTCGATCCCCGGTACCAAAAAAAAAAAAATTCTTTGGGCTGGGGATTTAGCTCAGTGGTTTCACCACCTGCTGCGCAAGCCCAAGGACTTGAGTTCGATCCCCGGTACCAAAAAAAAAAAAATTCTTTGGGCTGGGGATTTAGCTCAGTGGTTTCACCACCTGCTGCGCAAGCCCAAGGACTTGAGTTCGATCCCCGGTACCAAAAAAAAAAAGCAAAAAAGATGAAGGCAGAGGTCTGGTGATGCTTGTCCAACCCAAGGAACTGCAGAGGTGGCCCTTAAACCAGCAGAAGCTGCAAGAGAGGCTTGGGAGGAACCAATCTCCTGCCCCAAGCTCCAGAATGCCTAGACCACAAATTTCTGTGGTCTGAGCTCCTTTATTCAGGTTGCTTTGTTAAAGCAGCCCTACCAGCAATGCTGACTTCCTGCGCGGTGTGAAATTTCTGTACTATCTATCTATACATTTCCCTTGCTCACAGAAACATAGTAAGTCTGTCATCAGGTGTTGCAGGGAGCAGCCTCACTTTCTAGGCTCTTAGGTCAGAGCAACTGGTGAATGTAAAAGATTAGCATTTATTTAGCTCAAAAATAAGAAGGAAGGGGAAAGATGTGTTCAGGGAGAAAAGGGCTCTTGGTAGCAAAAAGAGAAGCTACATCCTGCCAGCAGAACGGACAAGAGGACAGAGAGGGCAGAGCCGCACTGAGCTGCTGCCATCCTTGTCTTCTTTGGTAGTTGCTTCAGGCTGACGTCCCACCTGAGCACCTGCTAGAAATTGCATCAGGTGCCAGGCTCCACTTGAGCTGTGTCAGAAGATTGGAACCAGGTTCAGGGCTCGTTAGCTGCCGCTCTGCACCTGTGATTAACAAGCCTCTTCAGTTGGCAGGTTGGCCCAGTCTCCTACATCACAACCATTTTATTTTTTTTCACATCCATCTTACATAAAAATTTCTAATTAAAAACTAAGCTCTCTGATATCACTAAAGGGGGCCAAAACAACTTGCTTCCAAATGCATTTCAAATTTGTATTTCTGTTGATGATATTTTTATTTTCTGCGTGGTCTTCTGAAAATGCAGATAAAACAAAAACAATTTTTTTTTTGGTGGAGACAGATCTCACTATGTAGTCCAGGCTGGCCTTGAACTCATGGCAAACCTCTTGCCTCAGCCTCCAGAGAGCTGGAATTACACGCATGAGCCACCACACTCAGCAATATTATTTTTTTTCAGTACCGGGAATCAAACTCAGGACCTTGTACATGCCAGGCAGGCATGTGCCACTGAGCTAAATCCTCAGCCCAAGCAATATTATTTTTTAAAGAAATGTTTTAAATTGAAAAATATCCACAGCCCTGCTAGAGAGGCTGCAGGAAGTAGCAGTAGTAGACGTGCTACTGGGAGTGGCCAGGTGTCCTCAGTGAAGACGGAGGATGTCCACTGTCTGTCCATTGTTTATCATGGTGACAGCCAGAAGCACTTCAGAAAACCAGCAGCACAAAGTTATTGGGGTTCTCAAACTTCCTCATTTCATCTTAATATTATTTTATCATTATTTAATCACATGGATATTTCCCCAAATTGTACAGAGACATAATTAGCATGATTTTGTTTTTAAAAGTTCACCTTCATTAGCAATTTTTAAACACAGGAAAGAACATAACACAAAAGAAAGAATGTTTTTCAAGGGAAAAATAAAGGAATTAGAAAACAGAAAAATACAGAATCAATACTTCCCAAAGGCCATTCTTTGAAATATATGATTAACAAATACCTGACACTTCAAAATTCTTGGAACAAAATATTAACAAAATATTACACTATCAACATATATGTTTTTACTTATATTAAAGGCTATATTTTAAGTAAATTCACTACCTGTTCATAAGGGCATATTGTAAGCAGTCCTCGGGCCGGGGATTTAGCTCAGTGGTTCCAGCACCTGCCTCGAAATCGCAAGGTCCCAAGTTCGATCCCCCGTACCAAAAAAAAAAAAGAAAAAAAAAATACTGAATGTAAGAAGTCCTCTCAAATATGATGAAAAACTGAAAAAAGTTTCTGGAATACATGGTGATGTTTATAAGCAGGACTATGAAAGGAGGCCAGATATTTACATGGGGACAGATATTTGAAAAAATTAGAGAATTTTGGTGTTTTCAGACAGAGTATCACTATGTAGTTCAGGCTGGTCTTGAACAATGAAGCCCAGGCTAGCTTCAAATTTGCAGTGACCCTCCTGCCTCAGCCTCCCAAGTGCTGAAATTACAGGTGTGTGCTATCAGGCCCAGCTGGGAGAATTTTTTTCTTCTTTTTTTTTGGTACCGGGGATCAGACTTGGGACTTTGTGCTTGGGAAGCAAGCGACAGAACCACTGAGCTAAATCCCCGGCCCTTCTGAGAGAATTTTTAATCAAGTCAGCTTTGCATTTGTTGCTGTAAACATTACCACAACATGAATTTATTTCAGGTCAACAAACAATATAGGTGGCTCTGTTTGTCCCAGTGCCCCTGGTCTCACAAGGTCAAGACCAAGGTGTCAGCCAACGCAGGCTCCTATTTGGGGGCTCTGGGGTGAGGATCTGCCGCAGCCTTGTTCAGGTTGTCAGCAGAATTCAATCCCATGTGGTGTAGGTCAGAGGTCTCTGTTTTCTTTCCGAGTGTCAGCTGGGACCTGTGTCCCCTGTCGCCTGGCCTGCTTCCTCCATCTCCTCCATGGTACTGCAGAGTTCTCCTCCTGCCTTACTCCTCTACCAGAGAAGTGTCTCTGCTTTCCAGGCCTGCAGGGCTGCTCAGACTGGACCCATGAAGCAATCTGGGGCAGAGCAATCTGTGTTTACCTCCATGGCCTTCATTACATCGGCAAAGTCCTTGCCGCCATGTAAGGTGGCCCAGTCACAGGCTCTGGAGATCAGGTGGACATCCTGGGGAGACACTGGGGCTGAACCATGTGACGTGAAAACGGAGAAATTGTCCTAAATCAGAAAGCAGGATACTATCTTGGTTGCTTACCTAGTTGGTGGGACAAAATACCCAACACCTATAATTTAAGGGAGGAGAAGTTTATTTTGGCTCACGTTTCAGTCCATAGTTGATGGCTAAAAGTCAGGGCCTAGCAGAAGAGAGCTGCTCAAGGCATGGGCCACAGGAAGCAGAGAGAGGGAAAGGAGGAGGGGAAAGAAACACTTCCAGGCCGTGATCATAATGTGGCAAAGCGTACAGCTCAGTGTCACAGCCAAGTGTCACAGCCAAGTGTTACAGCTGCAGCCATTTGAAGGCTCGAGAATCCAAAAGGCACTCGAAGACATGGAGAAAACCTTTCATTAGACCACTGGCTCAGAGGAGTTTGCTCACTCTGAATTCTGAGTAGTAGTAAGAGTCCATTTCTATACAGTTGGGGAAAGGAAGTTGAGAAGAACCTTCTGGAGTGGAAACATAGCTAGAAGCAGGAAACTTAGGTAGAAACATCAGGTACTAAAGTTACACTGTTTGAACAAAACACCTTTGATATATTGAGCAGGTACATGGTGGAGCACAGTCACAGAACATTTTGATACATTGGGTGCGAATACCAGGCAGCACAGTTATATTTCTGGTACAGAACATCTTACGGGAAAAAAACACAGGGGCCAAGCAAAGGCCGGTCCTATGGTGCATTACTGCTTCATCACCACCAGGCCCCCCCTCCGCACAGCATGTCAGCTACGAACTCATCAAGGCATGAATCCACCGAGTAACGCCCCGGATCCAGTCATCTCCCCAAAGCTCCACCTATGAGCTCAGAGACTTTGGGGGACAGAAACAATAACATTGGTCAAAGTTCCTCAGCCTGGGGTCTACTGACATTGGCGGGGGCGCTGTTGAAATTTTAGACTGGACAAGCCTTTTGTATGGGGCTGTCCTGTGCATTGTAAGACATTCAGCAGTGTCCTTGGCCATACCAGCAAGAGGCCGGTAACACACTAACACAGTTGAGACAACTGGACGTGTCTCTCAATTTTGGCAAATGTCCCATTTGGAGCAGGTCAAAATCACCCCTGAATGCGAGTCTACACACACACAGTGTGGCCCTAATTCTGAGAGAAAAATGAGGTGCACGCACCCACACACCCACACATGCACACATACACACACACGCTCATATATATGTAAAGTAGAAAATATTGGAAGAAAAATAATGAAGAATGAATAATGGTTATCATAGACTTTGCCCTAGCTGTTTTTTCCTTTATACTTTTCTATTCCTTCTAAGTTGAATAGCAATTACCTTTCAGCATTATTTTACAAAGCTATTTCTCCCCAAATAGATTTTCAAATATGGAATCGATGTCTTTTTTCTGAAGACATTCTTTCTACTGCCACTTCACGATTCTTTGATGTACTGTTGAATTTCTGTGTCTATTCATAGTTAAAGTGATGTTTTTCTCTTTTGTCAGAGCTGTCAGAATATATAGTCTATGCCCAAAATTAATTGAAGCATCAATAGAATTAGCTGTTTCTTTTATCTGAAAGAACCATCCATTTAAATGGGCTGGCTGTTCTGAACCATTTTTTTGGAGATAATTGCCTGAGAACTTTTTCAACAGTTTTCTTGATTATAGGCCATTATGCTTTTCTACTACTTCTCCAGATCATTTTGGCCATTTCTACTTTTCAATAAAATCACCCACTCCAGAATATTCATATTTATTAGATAAGAGTCTATGTTTTTTTTAAAAAGCCTTATAATTTGTCTTATTCACCATACCTAATTATATACCCTTTCTTATTATTTTAATATTTTCTCTCTTGCTTATTAATTATGTACTCCAGAAATGTGTCTTTTTTAGTTGCTTTCAAACAACTACCTCTAACTGGGTGTGGTGGTACACACCTGTAATCCCAGCACTCAGGAGGCTGAGGCAGGAGGATCATCACGAGTTCAAGACCACCTGAGCTACACAGTGAGACCTTGTCTCAAAAACAAACAAAAAAACAGAACAAAAAAAATTACTTCTTAATATACTGATCAGCTCTTCTGCTTTTTTCATTGTATCAATCTGTTCCTTGTTACTGTAACAAAATACCTGAGGTGGGATGACTTTAAAGAAAAGAGGTTTATTTACCTCACAGTTTTGGTGGTTCAAGGGCATGCATTGCCACTAGCTCAGCTCTGGTGAGGGCTGTCTTGGCTGTATCCATCTCTGTAGGAGTGCCTGGATAAGGACAGATCACCTGGAAAAATCAGAAGCCAGAGAGGTACAGAGAGCTTGGCCCTACCCAGCATGGGAACGATGCCTCTTCCAGCTGTGCCTCTGCCTCTCTCATCTCCATCTGCCCCTCTCAGCACCCCCTTTTTCATTGAAGAGCCTGTTGGGTGCTCAATAATTTGAGGTGAGGTGATTTTTTAAAATTTAGGTATAGGGGCCAGGGATTTAGCTCAGTTCCGCCACCTGCCTCACAATCGCAAGGACCCAAGTTCAATCCCCAGTACCAAAAAAAAAATTTAGGTACAATTTTTTAAAAACCAATTTTGACCAAGATATGGATATCTAACATACCAAGCAAGATATAGAACATTTCCACAAAGCAAAAAAGTCCCTTCCAACCCTTAAGATAAATTTATCCCTCCTCCATTGATTGGCACCCACATTTCTGATTTCTCTCTCTATGGATTAAGTTCTGTCTGTTCTTTAATTTCATATAATAAAACTGTATAAGCTGGGCATGGTGGGACATGCCTATAATTGTAGCATTCTGGGAGGCAAAGGTAGGAAGATCACAAGTTTGAGCCCAGCCTAGGCAATGTGGTGACTTTGTGAGACCTTGTCTTAAAATAAAAAATAAAAGGGGCTGGGGGTGTAGCTCAGTGTGAAAGCACTAGGTCCCCTTCCCAGTACTGCATCAATCAGTCAGTGTTACAGTACACACTCCTTTGAATTTGCTTAAATCTACACTTGATGTTGGGAGGTGAGGCCTGGTAGAGGAGGTGGGTCGCTGGGGATGTGGCCTGGAAGGATCTCGCTCCCTCCTGTCCTCCTTTGATCTCTGTCTGTGCTTCCCACCGCCATGCCATGAGCAGTTTCTCCTCTGCCAAGCCCGTCTGTTAGACCACCCTGCCCTGGAGCCAGCTGACTATGGACTGAACCCTCTGCACACTGAGCCAAAATAAACCTTTCCTCCTGTAAGTTGAGGGTATCAGGTATTTTATCCCGGCAATGAGGAAAGTAACACAGTGTGTGACCACTGTCCAACCCCCAGTCCCCTGAGGCCTCGCCACCCAACATCGCATAGAGCTGTGCAGTCACAGTGGACAATCCACTGACGAATAGAGCACCCTACAACCCAGTCACCTCCCCAAAGCCCCACCTAGCAGTGCATGAGGCCTTGGGGGAACATCTATATAGAAACCATAACAAGCACTTTTCCAGCATGCATAAAGCCCTGGATTCCATCCCCAGAAAAAAAAGAAAAAGAAAGAAAGGCCTCAAATCCTACTGGTTCTTTTAAAGCACAAATGGATGGAGAGAAAAACTATAATCTTGAAAGGGAAGGTTATAAAAATGTCAATTACTTCTCAAATTTAATCAAATTCAATCAAAACCCTAAGAGATTTCTTTTGCAGATAAGTAAAAAAAAAAAAAATTCTAAAATTTGTCTTCAAAAGCCAATACATTGCCATTGCCAAGAATTTAAAGGAAAAGAAGTAATGATGACTGCAGCTTGCAATGTAACAGAAATAATAGTGCTAGAAGAAAACTGGGTAATATAAAGTCTAAAAGGGGAGCTCATAAGTATACAGGCGTGAGAAAATATTTGATGTATTTACATCTCTGAAAATACCAAGAATAAAATGAAGAGGCAGATGTCAAACTGGAAAAATTCTAGTGATTTCTAAAAGATGAAGCAAAGGCTAAGAAATGTAGTCTTTTAAATTAGGTAGCAATAAGCTCAGCCAAATGAATTGTTATTACTGAAGAAGAAAGGGGAAATGGATATGAGGAAACAGTTAGTGGTCCTTGCTGGAAGAATTTGTAATTAAAAATAAAATAAATGACAGGTTTTGATAACAAGAACCCAGGGAGCGAACAGAGTGAACTGAAAGTAGAAGGGACTACATGAATGAGAAAACGGATGCCACAGTTGGGATGTAGCTTAAGTGCGTCCGCGGATGTCATGTGGTGAAGCTGCATCCTCAGGGTGGCAGTGTTGGGAGGTGGCACCTTTAGAGGTGGAGCTCAGTGGGAGGTCTTTAGGTCATTGGGGACCCTGCACTCAGAAGGAATTATGGTATTTCTCCCACGGTCCTGGCTAGTTCTCATGAGAAGGGTTCTTCTGAGTACTGAGTGCCCCCAAGAGGAGGAAGCACAGGGGCCCCAAAGGGCCTTACACTGGACAGCTTTTTGTGACTACAATGAAATACCTGAGGCGATTAACTTAGTAAGAGAAAAGGTTTATTTTGGCTCCATTTTGTAGCTTCCACTCTGTGACCCATGGGCCCCATTGCTTTGGGTCCGGGCCAGGCAACACCTACTAGTGGGAATGTGTGACAAAGCCCCTGGCTTTGAGGCCAGGATACAAAATGGGAATGGAAGAGAGGCGCCTGAAGTCTCATCATCCCCTTACAGGGCACAGCCCTGTGACCTAAGGGCCTGCCACCAGGCCCCGGGGTCCTTTCAGGGATGCTCATCCAAACTGTAGAAGGCCAGATGGTGTCTGTTTCCCTGGGTATGCCTGGGACAGCGACATGGGACACAGGTGGGCGGGCTGGAGAGAGGGGCTCTGATATGGGACAGAGGCCTCCTGGCTCTCACTCACCCCGCTTCCCAGGGTGCCTTCTCCTCTCCCAGTCCCCCGCCACACCTGTCTCTGGTTCCCACCCAAAACCCATCTCCCTGGAGCCTCAGCTGCACTGCGACCCCTCCTCACCCTCGGCCCTGTCCTTCCCTGAGCCCACAGAGCTTGCTGCAATGGCGAACCCCACATGGCCCTGCAGCTCCTTGGATAACTGACCAGACTCACTGTCTTCCACCAAATCCAAGCTGCTGTACCGTGGGTACATTAAGAACAATCAGTGCTAATTATAACTGCGAAAGATGTAATAATTTCAGAGGTGCTAAACTATAAACAAGAGGGGTATCTAAGAATCCGTGCGCATGGATTCTTGAGCATCTACCTGAGCAGTGGTGCTGAAAGTGTAATCTGAAGACCCTAGTAGACTCCAAGTCCATTCAGCAAGTCGACAAGGTCAGAACTGCTAGCAATACACTAATACATTACTTGTCTGTTTCGGTCTCGATCTATTAGCATACAGTGGAACATGGCCCCACCACCACCACCCGGGGCTACACATATGGTCCCATTGTTTTAAAGATCATTGGAAGGGCCAGGGATTTAGCTCAATGGTTCCGCCTCCTGCCTAACAATATGTACAGTCTTGTGTTTTAAATTTTTTCTGAATTTTTTTTTTTTTGGTACCGGGGATCGAACTCAGGACCTTGTGCTTACGAGGACGGCTCTGGAACCACTGAGGTAAATCCCTGGCCCTTTTTCTGAATTTTAATTTCACATATGAGGGCCATTGGGAATTGAGCCCAAGACCCTATGCATGCTAGGCAAATGCAATGCCATTGAGCTACACCACACCACTCCCAGTCCTTTTGATACAGGGGAAGAGATGTAGCTCCCAAACCTACTAGATAACCGAAACACAAGTTTGTGTTCTTTAAAATCGAAGAATGAATTCTAGGAACAGAGGTTAAAGAGTAGGAAAAATTTATTGGGAGAAAGAAAGCTTGTAAGAGAGACAGAAGCGGGACTGGAAAGTGAGTTGCCTGCTCACCCAACTTCTCAAAGGTGTTTTATGGGACAAAGCTGTGAGGTGAGGCAGGTTCAAGGTGGGACAAAACTATAGTCAACTAGTAAGATTACAAGTACAGTTGCTTAGGTAATATTGATCCAATGACAAATCACAAGGTGGACAAAACTATGAGCAACCAATAAGATTATGACAAGTATAGTTGCTTAGGTAATATTGATCCAATGACAAATCACAAGGTGGACAAAACTATGAGCAACCAATAAGATTATGACAAGTATAGTTGCTTAGGTAATATTGATTAAGTGGGGATCCAATGGGGAAACAAGTCACGTAGCAAGCGTACAAGGAATGAGCAAGGATTTTCGGTGGAAAGGGGTGGGTCAGGGATCTTGGAAGGCCTTGGCCCCCCACCCGGGTGATTGGTACCTATTGAGAATATCAGTCACTGCTGTTCATCCTAGGTGGGTGTGGTAGTTTCTCTCCTTTACAATGCCGGCCTTCAGTGAATGTGTCTTGATTGTCCTCCGTGTTGGCTCCATGGCGTGGGCTGGCCCTAACTGCCTACAAGATATCTAATTAACTTACCTATCTGTGATACTTTTACACAGGGTCTGGCTAAATTGACCAGAATGGCCTTGAACTTTCGATCCTCCTGCCTCTGCCTCCAGAATAGCTGGGATTCCAGGTGTACACCCATACCCAGCTGAGTTTTAATTTCTGACAGTAAATGTCTAAGCCCTTTGTTTGGAATGTTTATAAATCACTGTGCTGGGATGTGTGCCTAGCACTCACCTGGCAGAGGCCTTGGCCAAGGCCAAGGGGAGGCACCAGGAGAGGCACCCAGGCAAAGGGACTTGCCCCGGGCTGCAGGGAAGGCCTTGCAGAGGAAGTGGGGCTCACACCTGCCAACCTCTGGCATGCAGGTGGTCCTGCTCGCCTGCCAGAGGCCCGCCGTCTGCCAGCTCAGTGCCCTAGGTTGAGTCACAATTGTCTCTACTACCCTGGTCAATGTGCAGGTTTTAGGGGCTGTGATGAATGAATGAGGTAACGCAGTAGACGAAGGCTTAACAACATCGGGTCCTTGGTGGCTGGATTAAGTCTTGGGTGTTTCTGTTTCCTGCCACAGCTTAACACAATGCTTCACACACTGGGGCGCTTGGGAAACAGAGTGGGGCAACACAAGGTGGTGGGTGCTGCTGGGTCACTCAGGAAGTCTCAGACTCGACTTACCAGACACCCAGCTTCACCTGGGAGCTTGAGAGTCCAAACCACTTTCCTTCCGAGCTCTGGTCCAAGCCCAATTCCTCCCCATGTCTTCCAAACCTTTTCCCTCCTGCCCATCCCCGCACCCAGTTCCCCAGGCTAGTGGCCTTGCATCAGTTAGAGCTCTCTCCTTCTCCCCACCCTCACTTCCCACCACCTGCCTCCAGCAGCGGCCGAGCAGGGCTGGCACAGGCAGCCGAGCAGCACCTGCCTTCTGGCGGCTCCACGTGCGACCGAGGGCGCTCGGGTGGCTTTCGCTGGAAGGAGACGGAGGGAGAAGCAGGGGGAGAAGGAAGGAGGCGGGATGAATTCAGAGCTCGGGATGGAGGCCCGCACCCAGCACATGGCCTCGAGGCCTTCTCCCGCGCCACGGACGGGTCCGAGGAGGAGGCCAGTGGAGCAGGTACGGCCGAGACTCACGTCTCCAAAGAGGGAGTCTGCAGCGGGCGGGGACGGGACCTGGTCCCGCTGTTGTAGGCTTCAGTCGAGCGGACCGGGTCGTGGAGGGAAGCGGGAAGGGACTAGGCTGCCAGGGACTGGGCCCTTGGCGATGCCAGCATGGCTGGTGAGCGCGCGCGCGCGCGCGGCGAAGGGAGCCCCGGGCAGAAAGCGTCGCGCTGGCGCGCGGCGGGCAGGGGGCGCAGGCGCGGCGGGCGCCAGGGCCCCCCGGGGGCGGGGCTGGCTGGGGGTGGGGTTAGAGGCCGGGAAGCACACGGGATCCAAACTTCCGGTGCCTGCAGCGCACTGATCCGCGGCAGCTCTCAGAGGTTGCACCGGCGGAGGCTGCAGGGCGGACTCGCGGGCCGGCGCAGCCATGGTGAAAATCAGCTTCCAGCCCGCTGTGGCCGGTGTCAAGGCCGACAAGGGTGACAAGGCATCGGCCTCCGCCCCGGCCCCGGCCCAGGCCCCGGCGCCCGGCCCGGCCACCGAGATCCTGCTGACGCCAGCCCGGGTGAGAGAGGTGGGCGGCGAGGAACTCGGGGACGGGGAGCCCGGAGCCGCGAGCGGAGCGGGGAAGAGAGGGCTCTGATGGGTGACCCATCCCCAAGTGGGGACCAGGTTTGGGTTCTGTCCTAAAGCGGCTGCCCAAAGCAGAAGGTCCTCGGTCCCTTGTCCTTCCGTGGGAAAGCGCGCAAGATCTCTTCTAAAAGTGGAGGGGCCCCAGGGCGCCTCGCTTCAGAGCCAGGGACCGGAGCTGGTGCGCGCCAGGGCGAGGAGTACCGGTCTGGGTTCGCGTCTGGTTCCAATCAGTGGGGAGGGACCCGAGTCCAGTCCCCGGCTCGGGGGTGGGGGCGGCTTGGACGTAGTTACCCCAGAGTAGGGCGGTGGGATCCGATTGGTTGGCGAATGGGGGGGGGGGCTGCCAACGAAGGGAGAGAGGTCACTGAGATTTCGTTCCAAAGTGGGGGAGGATGTGCTGCTCTTCCTCACTGAAATTGGCAGGCCAGAAAGTGATGGAATGGAAATAAACCGGGACCGGCCCGGCTGTGCCTCCAGGGATCCCGGGTCCGAGGCCAGGAGCTCCTATCCCACCCCACCCCCCGCACGCGGCCTCCTATCTCGGCTCACACGCTGGGCGCCCCCTCCCCGAGAGGGCTCCCCCACCGCCCCAGTGCCCTCGGGATGGCACCCCGAGGCGCCCGCCGCCAGCCTTGCGGGAGTGGGCCTCGGTGCCCCCGTCTGCGCTCTGGCCTGAGGGAGTGGAGGCATTTACGCCGCGGAAAACTGGCTGCGCTGCATGGAGTGTCCACGGAGGGGCCCCGGGGGGCCAGGACCGGGGCGAAGGTCTCGGGCACACCCCCCACTACCACCCCCTGGAGGCGGGACTCCTTCCCAGGTCAGATTCCGTGGCTGGCTCAGTCCTGCCTGGAGGTGTGGAGGGGGAGCTGGAGAGGGGCCTCACGGGTGGGGGAGACCCTGGGTGAGGAATGCCACAGCGCTGGGCTGCATTCCTGCCCTCCTGTGATGCTCACAGCCGCAGCCAGCATCTCTGGCGACCAGAATCCAGCGACCACCTCATCCCAGGCTGGAGAGGGTGCGCCCTGTATGGAAGACACTGGTCTGCAGCTTTCAAAGTTTGCCATGGGCTCTTCAGACCTGGTTCTCTTTCCCAAAGGGAGCCAGTCTCCTCCCTCCCCTCCCTCTGAGAACGTGGGCCCGGGCCGAGGGCCAGAGACAGCTTGTCCCTTCCCAGCTGCTTCTCCCAGGAGCAGGCACCCAGCTAAGACTGGGAATCAGGCCCTGGCTGCTGAGAGCCACAGGATTTGGGGGAGGAAAACGGACCAAGCCAGATAGGGGGGCTAAATGACTCCACCTCCATCCGAAGGTCCCCCGAATCTGCAAGGGTGGCACCTTTGGGTGGCAGCCTACCCATGGTGTTAGAAGGATGGCTGAACCCCAGGAGGGAGATGTCAGGTTTTCTCATTAACCTCCGAATACTTGATGATTTTAGTGTATGAAATAAACTAGCAATATACAGATTAGCAGGGAAGAAAGCTGCAAATTTGTTAGCACATATATGTAGTGTGAGACTCAGCAGGGAGCTGGTTGGGAAGCTTCCCAGGTAAGAGGCCCCTGGAGGCAGTACGTGGTCATCTCTGTGTGGGCCAGGAGTTCCACCCCAGGTGTCATTAGGCAAGATCTTTCCTAGACAGCCAGGGGTGTGTGTGTGTGTGTGTGTGTGTGTGTGTGTGTGTGTGTGTGTGTGTGCGCGCCCACGCGCACGCACGCAAGTGGAAGGGCTGGAGAAAGCCTGCTTTCATCCATTTGCCCACTGTTCACTTAGGGCTGAAATTCTTTTTTTTTTTTGGTGCTGGGCCTCAAACTCAGGACCTTGCGCTTTCGAGGCAGGTGGCAGAACCACTGAGCTGAATCCCCGGCCCAGGACTGAAATTCTCTGCACATGCAAATCTTCCCACAAAGGGACAGCTTTTCAGAGCTAGTCCTTGTCTGAGGCCCCTCTGAATGGCCATTTGGAAATATGCTGAAGCAGCCTGTTTAGGGGTGGTCTGTTTTGATCTACCTTACCGTGCAGCCTGGGCAGTGACTGACATCCAGTTTCATTGGGCTCTGAAACTGAGCAGCCTCTCTTGCTGCCTCAACCCAGCATGAAATGGAAATATCAACATCATAGTGGGACCCAGCTGAGTGCGCCCCCTTCTAATTAGCATGGAGAGCTTGAGGCCACGCTATCAGAAGAGAGAATTAAAGTCCAGCACCCTTAGGACAGAAAGACTGTATTGGGGAGCTCTTGGGGCTTGCTGAGGCCCTGAGCTGGAGGACAGGAGCCTGTAGGTGCCACATGTTGGCCCTGCCATCGCCCCTGGACCCAAACACGTGGGTGTCGGTTTGTGCCTGTGGGGCTCTTCCGGCCCTCCTGCCCAATGGTGAGCAGGCAGGAACCCCATTTCACAGCTGTAGCGCAGGACAGAGCCAGCCCTTGCTGGGCACTGAGAGGTGGACTGGGGCACAGCTTGAAGGGGGCAGGACAGGGCACTGGGATTTGTCCCATACCTGTGGTGAGGCACAGGATGGCTTCCCGGTCTCCAGTCTCTTCTGGCCGGTGGTGACCCCAGAACACTTCTTGATGTCTGAACTGGGCTCGAAGCCAAGGACTCAAAAGTGATCCCTGGAAGGACCACTGAAGGAGCAGAGGGTGCAGAGCCAGTGGGCAGAAGCGACCGGCTGGGAGAGGGTGCCGGATTCAGCAAGGACTGCCCCCCCCCACCGCTTCTGAGCAAACACGGGCTAGGGCGATTCCCTCCCGCACCTGAGGCTGGGAGGAAGTCCCTGGTGGGCCAGGGAAGGGGCAGGTGGGGCCCAACCTCCCCACATGGTGTTGGGGCGATGGCAGCACGTCCCTCAGCCCAGTCCTCTCCCCACATTCTACCTGCGTGTGCACACGTGTGTGTGTGTGTGCACAGGCGGGTGTGGGCGTGTACAGACTCACAGGGTGGGGGCTACATGCGGAGAGAAACATGCTAAATACAGTCGTCGCCTCAGCTCTGATTTTTCTCCTTGACATTTGCCTTTGATTAATGGCCCCTGTGTGGCCCCCTCCCCCAACCTGCATACCTGCGGATCCGATTTCACTTTCCCAGCATCCTGGCCTCCAGCCCTTGGCAGGAGGCTCGGGGAGGGGAGGGTCCCCTGGCAGTTGGAGGGCAGGCCTGGCCAGCTCTTTCGCCTGCTCTGGGCCCCTGTTCCTGAGTCTCCCCAGGGCGGTGGGGACTCTCCAGCCTGACCTGGGGTCTTGGCTTTTCTGATTCTCTTTTCTCTTCTCTCGCCCACCCCTGCGTGGTTCAAGGCTGCCAGCAGACAGCTGAGAGGATGGGTTTTCCCCTGTACTTGTGGTAAAATCACAGTGGCACCAGCAGCGCCCCCTTCTACCACCGTCTAGCCTGTTGCTGTCGCTCACCCCCCCAAGTCCAGAGAGCTGGAGAGCTCTTCCAGCCCAGAGCTTTGCTAGCTCGAGACAGCCTGCCGGTCAGGGACAGAGAAGAGAACTCGCAGGGGCAGAGCGCAGGGTGCACAGGAGGGGGACCCACTAATGGTGAATCCCCACACGCACGCAAGTGACTGTGCTGTGCACACACACAGGGGGCCTGCTATTCGCTCACCCACTGACCCCAGCCAGGCCTCCGTCTCAGACACACTGATGGTCAGGCACCTCCCCTCCCAGCTGGGGCCTGCAGCCTAGGAAAGAAAAGAGCCAGCCCGCCTGGGGTGTGGGGAGATGAGACCACCCTGACCCCCAGCCTTCGGCCTCGCCGAGCAGCCTGCGGTTTAGTTTAGTCTGCTTGAGGCTAATCTGGACATTGTTTTGGAGGGACAGCAGCCGGGCAGCTCCCCCTCGAGCCTCGGGGTCTGCTGAGTTAACCCTCTGGTTGGTGGCTTCCCCTCCAGTTCGCTCCTGGCTTTGCTAAATCATTTCATAAGCCCCATTGTGGACCCCAGGGACACCCCCTTGGGTCCCCCAAACACGAGTGTGCAATGAGGCACTTTGGTCTGAGAGCCCGTCGCCTTGGAAACAGTATGCATATTTTCTTTCTAACCGGAAGCCCCCAAATGCTGGGCTGTTGGTAACTGCTCCCTGTGGGGAGCATTATTTCCTGGGGCCTCCTGGCAGCTCCCTGCTGCCTCACAGTTGTCAGGCTCCTCTTCCTCCAGGGCCCAAGAAGGACGAGTGTCCCGGGGCTTTGGTGTTTGACCCTTGACCTTGGTGGTTGCAGTGTTGGGTCCTGGAGGCACCAGCAGCTCTGGGCCTTTCCTCGGAGCTTTCCTGCCTTGTCCTCCCTTCACTGCCAGCCCTGCTGCTCCGCCTTCAGGCTTCTGAGTGTGGCTCTGCAACAGCAGGGAGGACCTGGCCCCAGAGGGTGCTGGCGGGTGTCAGCATCAGGAAGCAAGAGAGCCCTTTGTCAGATTTCACGTGGCCTTTTTCCATCTGAAAGTTTTGATCGTTTCAGTCTCTGAGATGAACTGATAGTAAACAGCTTAGCAAGAGGAACGAGTCAAGTTCACTATGCACACTGGCACGGGAGCCACATATAAAGTTTAGCACTCAGGGAAAGGACCACAGAGCTGAAGCTTAAACAGTATGGTGAGCTATGGAAAGAAAGAAATAAGGGTCCAAGTGTGGTGGCGCATGCCTGTCATTCCAGCACTGAGGCAGGAGGAGAGTTCGAGGCCATCCTGGACTACCTCGTGAGACCCTGTCTCAAAAACACAAGAAAGACATAGGGGCCCCTGGCATGTGGCCAGGTGATTGGAGGGTTGGTAGGGGATCAGGGAACAGCGGTCCTGTGGGCCCCAGATGACCCCTGCTGGAGCCCTCCTGGAAGGTCCTAGGCAGGAGCGGGATCCGGGGAGGTCTGTCTGCATCCTGCTTACCTTCCTCGTGCGCACGTGTAGATTTCTTTTTCAGGAAGGGCAGCTTTTCCTGCTTTGCCTGCATCTGCAGAAGTCTGCGGTCTCTCGGAATAACCTACTGGAAATGTGCCAAATAGATCTGAGAGGGATGTTTTTATGTCCCTCATCCTCCTGGGCTGCGAGAGGATGAAGAGGGGCGAGGCGGGGTTGCCGGCCTTCACAGTCCAGGGACTGGCTGGAGCCTCTGCCTGTCTCAGGACCACCGAAGCGCCACCTCCTCCCAGCTCCCAGCCCTGTGGTCCCGACCTCCTCCCCCCACCTCCCTTCTGGGCTTCTGTGATCAGCCCCTCAGCGTGGAGTCTCCTGACCCCTTGTCTATCCACACATTTGGCTGTAGAGGCGCAGGCCCTCAGGCGCATGCTTGTAGCCCCTTGAGTTTTTATCTCTTCCTTTCTGTTTTTGTTTGTTTTGGTTTTTTTTAAGCAGTTTTCTCAAGCTAGCTTCTCTGGTTTTCCAAAATGCAGCAGCAGTGGCACAGCCCACTGGGCAGCCCCAACAGCTGTCTGGGCCCACCCTAAAAAGGAAAGGCTGACGTTGGAGCTGCTGTTTTTATCTGGCACTTTATCCTCTGAGAAGGGCTTTCAGGTTCTTTGTCTGTTTTAATCGCAACAAAACCTGCCCTGGTGGGAGGTAGGAGACTGAGGAGGGGGAGCTGTAGTGCCCCGCTGGGCGCCCGAGACTCTTTTCAGCTCTGGGCCCCTAAATCCATTCTGGCCTTTGGAGGGCACTGTGGCCCCTGGGCTGGTGTGGGCACCTGGCTGGTCTGGCTCGGCTACCTTAAAATCTGCTCAAGACCACTGGAAGAGCGGAAGGGGCAGCACCGGGCCTGCCGGAGCCCCTGGTGGCCTGCTCCTTTGAGACACTCACCGGCAGTGCCTGGCTGTGGTGTTCCCCGGTCACCCACTATGGGGGCCAGGCGCCCAGCCTGCTGGTGCGAGTGCCGGTCCGGAAGCGCTTCCTTCTCTGGGGGGCTGGGGGACATACTATGAAGGGAGGGATCAGGACCCCCTGCCTTGCTGAGAGATGAGGGTTTATCCTGAGCTGGTCAGACACCCTCCCTCCCAGCGCTTCTCCAGAGCAGCAGGAGAAAGGAAACATCCAGAGCTCAGTCTGACCTGCTGGCCTTGCAGTTGGGGAAACAGGCCCAACAAGGGGCAGAGCTGGAGTGAGATGCTCCGGGTTCCTTGGGCTGGAGCCCCTGCCCTTCCCCCAGGCTGCCTCAATGTCTCAAGATGGGGGTCTGTGGGGACCAGATCTGGATGCCAAGGAGGGGCGGTGTGGCAGGCACTGTGGGCAGGGACAGGCAGCATCAGCAGGGCGAGCTGAGCAGGCTTAGGCCGGGGTTGGGGAGGACAGACCAAGCTGAGCAGGTCACCCGGCTGCCCCTCGGTCCAGTGCTCCGGGCAGAGCATTCTCCTGAGTTTCACACTCACCTTTCTGCCCCTGCCTGACATGTGAGGCCAGGAACCGGGTGTGGCTGCATCTGGCCAGGTCTGACTGACCAAACACCGGGCCTGGCCTTCTTTGCAGACTCCCTCCTGCTGTCTGCCTGGCCCTGCTGGGCACCATGGAGAGGGGCCTGGGCACGGTGGGCAGCACCTCTGAAACCAGAGAGTGGCCTCCCTTAGAGAAAGGGGGATTTCAGTGTACAGACCCACACCAGGGGCAGCTGGCTGACCGGGCCCTGCTGTCCACAGGAGGAGCGACCCCCCTACCACCCCTCCAAGAAGGCCTCGGTGGGCGGTGTGTGCTACCTGTCGATGGGCATGGTCGTGCTGCTGATGGGCCTCGTCTTTGCCTCCGTCTATATCTACAGATACTTCTTCCTGGCTCAGGTAACCGGCCCAGCGGCAGGCCTGGGGGTCCCTCTCACACTGTCACTCAGATCCCACAGAAGTTGGCACTCTGTGGTCCCCTCCAGAGCTGGGACTCTGCACCCACGAGTCTGGTAAAGGTGATCTGACTCCATTCTGTACATGGACACAGACCCAGAGAGGCAGAAGGACTCCCGGGCAGGAGGGTGGGCTGCCGGGGTGGCTGCCTCACCTGTGGTCACACACCCTGGGGCCGTGGCTGGCCCACAGGAGACCTGGGGAGGGAAGAGTGTCACCACACCCGGGAACGGAAGGTTGTTAAACTGGAAGTAGCTCAAGAGGATAAATAAGCCTAAGTGCTTCTAATGGGGAATCTCCTTCCCCTGGGAGAGCTGCACAAGACCCGGGAGGGGGACGCTGCCCTTTACAGGTCGGATGCGGAGGGGACACTAGAGTCTACCTGTGCTGCATCCACCTGTGCACCCCACCTACTTCCCAGGGGTCCCTTCCTGGCCGGCCTGTCCAGCTCAGGTTTGTCCTGGAGGCTCCTCCATGAAGGGCACAGGGGTGGTCAGTCCTCTTCCCGCTGGTCCACTTCACAGACTCAGGGACTTTGAGGCCAGAAAGGATGTTAGACATCATCATGCTTTAGACGGGGAAACTGAGGCTTCCCCCTAGGACCCAGCAGCCCTGAGCGTCCTCCCCTCCATCTGTGCAGCCGTGAATCGCTTCTCGAAGCCTCAGCTCACCTTTTTGCCAGAGCCCTTTGGCCGTGAAGTGGACAGGTAGGCGGCCGTGGCCGTGCCCAGTGCCCTGCGTCACCACCTGTCCCCCTCGCCCCCTTGCCTTGCTCAGCTGGCCCGAGACAACTTCTTCCACTGTGGCGTGCTGTACGAGGACTCCCTGTCGCAGGTCCGGACTCACATGGAGCTGGAGGAGGACGTGAAAATCTACCTGGAAGAGAACTATGAGCGCATCAACGTCCCTGTGCCCCAGTTTGGTGGTGGGGACCCTGCGGACATCATCCACGACTTCCAGAGGGTGAGGCCGCCCGTGGGGTGCTGTGTGGCTCTGGTTACACTGTCCTCATCGGCTGACCCGAGTGGGGTGCCTGGTGGTGAGGCCGCTGGTCCTCGTGTCTGCTCACATGTGACAGAGGGGCACCACTGCCGAGTGTGCAGCTCTGTGGGTTTGTGCAGCGCCACACAGGCCGAGGTCTGGCATGTTGCCAGCACCCTGGAAGGTTCCCTTCCGCCCTTCCCAGTCGGTTCCTTCCCCGTCAAGGTGACTCCTCTTCTGCGGTTGTTTTTGAGGCCAGCAAAGCACAGGTCCCCGCCCTCTTCCCCATATGGCTTCCCAAAGCCTGGTAGAGGTTGGGCCCCTAACCCTGCTCCCCACATCCTGGGTGCCCCACAGCAGAGGCCCACAGGGGCCTGGGGCAGGGCATCTCCAAAGCCCAGGCTGCCCCTGGGATGAGTCGGGTGAAACACACAGTTGGGACAAAACCACATCCCCAAACCTCACCCAGTGCTGCGAACTTTGTAGGTGCTGGATAGGCAGGTGGGGTTCAGCTGTGAAGTGGCCCCTCCCACAAACCAAGGCTGAGCGGGGCAGTTGTCTAGGAAATTGGGGGCCACTACTCCCGGAGCCCTGGGGTCCGGGCTCTGCTGGCTGAAAGCCTCTTGTGGCTCAGCATGGTCTCTCCTGTGCAGGGCCTCACCGCCTACCACGACATCTCCCTGGACAAGTGCTACATCATCGAGCTCAACACCACAATCGTGCTGCCCCCACGCAACTTCTGGGAGCTCCTCATGAACGTGAAGGTGAACAGGGCTCCCCACGGAGGTCAGGCCTGGTGCAGGGGATGGGGACCTGGGGGCGTCAGAAGGGCCCGCGGGGTCCTTAGCTGAAAGAGGGGCGAGCGGGAGTGGCAGCCGGGGCCCTGGTGCTGACCTGTGCTATGCCGCCCCGCCCCCACGCAGAGAGGAACCTACCTCCCACAGACCTACATCATGCAGGAGGAGATGGTGGTGACGGAGCACGTCAGCGACAAGCAGGCCCTGGGCTCCTTCATCTACCACCTGTGCAATGGCAAGGACACCTACCGGCTGCGGCGCCGGGCCACCCGGAGGCGTGAGTGATGGGCCCCGCCCTGGGCACCAGACCCCTGCCTTCTCCAGCAGTGCCTGGCCCCGCTGTCCGAGAGCTCAAACAGCAGCACTTAACAGATTCCCGTTAAGCAGGCACTTACAGTGTGTCAGGCACTGCCTTACAGTCACCAACGTCATCGTCAGTCATTATTGTTCTAGTTGTCTCTAAAGACTGAGGCACAGAGGTTAAGTAACAGCCCTAAGTCACACACACAGCAAGGAGGAGGCCGGTACAGGCATTCTGACTCCGGATTCTGGGCCCTCGCCACTTCCCCTATGCTGTGACTCCGTGTCACTTCCCCGCCTGCCCTCTCCCCTAGCCAGGTCTTGAGGACCTTGGCATTCAGGCCTGAATGCAGGGCTCACTGGGATTGTTTTGTTTCCTCCCAGGAATCAATAAGCGTGGGGCCCAGAAGTGCAACGCCATCCGCCACTTCGAGAACACCTTCGTGGTGGAGACCCTCATCTGCGGGGTGGTGTGAGGCTGCCATCCGCTTCTCTCCTTCTGGCCGCTCTCTGGCCTCCCTGCCCTCGCTTAGCTTGTACTGTGGACACCTTCCCTGAGCTGTGACCTGTCCCCTTCCCTTCCGGCCCCCTGCCTCCCTGTACCAGGGCTGTGACCTCTCCGGGCCGGCCTCTGCTGACCTCCCGGGGTGTGGGGGGGATGCCCCACGCTGGGCTCTGGGTCCCAGAGTCCGGGCCGAGGGGCGTGGCTAGAAGTCTGGGTGGGGGCGGCCGAGGGTTCAGACGTCCCCACGGGCGGCAAGGTCTGCTGAGGTGTTTGCCCGGGACGCACAGATGCGTGGCCAGGCGCGGGCGGAAGATGGGGGGTGCCCGGGGCTGCACCCACCAGAGCACAAGGGAAGGTGGCTGTCCTGGGGTCCCAGGACTCCTGTCAGTGCCTTCAGCCCCCCTCCCCCAGAAGGCGCCGGGGCCAGGGTGGGAGGAATCAGTTCAGCACAACGTTCCTTCTCCGAGTGGAGCCAAAGAACTGCGGAGCAGGGCCCGACCCTGGCTCCTGAGCGCACAAACCCGGTCCCCATGGCCGGGACGGGCAGGGGCCTCTGGGGGGCAGGGGCCTCTGAGGGGCAGGCGGCGAGTTGCTTTCTCCAGCCTGGAGCTCTGTGACCAGTGGGGGCAGGGGAGGGGAGGCCACCTGGTACGGACACCCTCCCCCTGTTCTAAACCTGTCCGTCCCCCACTCCCGGGGGCCTGCTCAGCTCTCCTCACTTCTGCATGTGTTTACTGATGTTCCCGCCCCTGACTGTCCTCAGCCCCAAGCCTGGGAGGGGTCCGTTACCTCAGTCCCACTTGGGTGCTGCCTGGAGGGGAAGCTCTTAGATGCTTTGTATATTTTCTCTGTTAGATCTCTTTCTAGAAGTGTCTGTAGAAAATAAAAATCTTTTACTTCTGACTGAGCCGGGTGTGGCAGGAAGGGGCTGGTGGGCGGAGTGGGGGGTGGACGCGAGGGCAGGGAGGGGGCTGCAGACCTTGGCACCTGGGCCCCAAAGAGGGCACCAAGTCCCTTGCATGGTCTCCTGGGGACTGAGCCAGGCAGGGCTCACGTGTGACAGGTGAGGAGGGAGGAAAGCAGCGCCCCTAGGACTTGGGCACCCTGCCCAAGGTCACACTGCTTTTAATGCCAAAAACGAGTGTGGCAGATGACATCATCAGTGTGCATCCTTCAGCACAAGGACAGTGTTGAATTCTCCACATGGTCTGCCATTAGTCACCGTTCCTGGTGGAGCAGAACTGAGGTTGGGTGTGATGGTCCCAAGCTCACATTCACAGCCTCAGTTCCAGCAGCAAGGAGGCCGCGACAGGAGGATTGCTGTGAGTTCGAGGGCAGCTTGGGCTACATAGTGAGTTAAATGCAGTGCAGTCAATTCAGATGCCAACAGGATTTGCTTTTTAGCTTGATACAGTCAGTTCTTTGGGAAAAGTAAACATGGGGACCAGCCGGGTAAGGCAAAGCGGTGCCCTTCTGGTGTACCACAAGGTGAATTACAGCAAGGAGGGTGGGGCGCAGCTCTGTGGAGCAGGCACTTGCCTGGCAGGCAAAAGTCCCAGCGTCATTCCCTAGCACAAGCCTCCCAGAGACAATATAAGGAAGGAATTTGGAGTAGCAAAGGAAGAGGTCAATGGGACACAGGACGCCCAGAAATTGATTTAAATTGCAGGGCTATCTGATCTGTGGGTAGAGTGGCATGTCAGTTCAGGGGGGCTGTGTGGGTTATTTTTAATGGCACCACTGACCAGCCTTTTCAACAAACCTGAATTCTTCCTTGTACAAAATGAATTCCACATGAATACAAAGTTTTAAGAAATGAAAACATAAAAACACTTGAAGCTGGGCCAGCACTCAAAGGCTGAGGCCAGAGGATCACTTGAACCCAGAAGCTCGTGCCTAGCGTGGGAAACAGCAAGACCCAGTCTCAAAAAAAAAAACAAAGTATTTGAAAGAAAAGATGACTTAAAATGGTTTTGGAGGAAAAACAGCCTTTCTGAACATGATACCAAGTTAGAATTTATAGATGAAAAGTTAAAATTTATAATAGCAAAATGTACCATGAGGTGAAAAAGTTTATGATCAGGAAATGAGATGATTTTCAAGCAGAAAGTTAGGCCATTTTCCTCCAAATGGAAAGTTTTTATAAATCGTGAAAAATAAATAACCCAATAGATAAATGGGCAAAGAATATGAACAGACTATTCACAGAATGATAAATGGAAGTGGATAAATAATTACCACTGAACTGGTGTTCAGTCGTGTTAAAAAGAAAATACAAATCAAACCTGGGAGATGACCTGTACGCATCAAGTTCGGGTTGTTAGGGTTTTTTTCTTATTTTCTGCTGTGAGGCATTTATCACACATGACACTATAAGTCACTCGTGTTTGGGGAAGGTAGGGTAAGTTCTGAAACCCACCAGCCCACTTGTGGGACAGGCCTGCTGATCCCGGGCCAGAACTTCGTGGCCCAACAACACTTTGTGATTGTCCTGGTTCTGGTTGGCGGATCAGCTCCTCGCAGGCTGAGTGCCCTGCTTTGCATTCAGCTGGGAGCTGCCTCAGCCTTCCAGGGTATGATCCACGTGCCCTCTGGTCCCTCACAGTCGCCACCGGCACCCTGAAACAGCTCCATTGTGGGGAAGCAGAAGCTACCAATCCTTTAAGGCCTGGAGCAGAAGTCCCAGAATGTCACCTGGTCACATTCTCTTGATCAAAGCAAATCACAAAACCAGCTCAGATTTGAGAAGAGGCCGTGGGTCATCCATGCTCGGGCATGCAAGGAATTGTTGGCAGCCTATTTGGAGACTCCAGTTTCACCCCAGCCTCTGCCCCCCATCTCCCCACCTCCATGGCCTGGAAAGGCTGGTCCAGACCTGAACTGGTACAGAGACCCGCTTATCCTTAGATCCAAGGCAGTCTTGAAAATATGTATGTCAGTTTTCCACTATTGATCAACCTTCTATCCACTAGCCAGTCCAGATTCACTCTTACCCTTTTTCTGAGATAATTCATAGTGTACCCCATATATAAGGGGCCCCAATATAGTCTTGTTTGGATTTAAGTAGTGTTAAAGTGGTGAGAAAATGTGTACATGTTTTATTCTCCGACTTGCTTTTCTCCCTCGATCTTACATTTCTAAGATCCATCCCTGTCGCTGCATAACAGCCCATCCTATGAAAATACACCTCGATTACCTGTGAACAATGATGGACAGTGACTCTTTGGGTTCTTTCTGAACTCTTACAGTTACAATCTTATTCACAAGCGTTTGTGACGGGGCCTCTGGTGCACTTGGGCAAGGGTTTCTCTTACCGCGCACACCCTGAGGTAGAACCACTGGATCACACAGCGTGCAAATGTTCAGCTCACCAAATTCTGCCCGATTCGTTTTTATAGGAAGCTGAAGCCACCTGTACCTCCGCCCGCACTGCACAGGACCCCTCCTCCCTCCGCATCTGCTCTACGGTCTGTGCTGACTGTCCCGACCAGTTTTTGCCAATGAATCAGGAGTAAAATGGTTTTCACTATGGTTTGAATTTCGTCTCGGATTAGCGGGAATGTGGGGCAGGTTTCATGTGATTTCAAACCTTCAGATGTCCTTACTACGCCTCTTAGTGGTTTTTTTGCCTGTTTTTCTACAGGATCTTTTGCTGTCCTCTAATTTCTAGGTGTGCTTTATATATTTTATATTTTATATTCTGTCAGTGTTTCTCTAGCAGGACCATATCCATTCTTCGCCTTTGTTCATCCACATTTTAGAAACAGTTAACAAGTTTCATGAAAAATTTTCTTGAAGCTCTTACTAAACTTATATAAAATCTATAAATCTATTTGAAGAGAATTGAAATCATAATACCAAGCATTCCAGTCCATGAACGTAGTTTTAAAATTTATTTGGGCTGGACTTGGTGGCACACAGCTGTAGTCCCAGCACTCGGGAGGCTGAGGCAGGAAGATTTCTGCAAGTTTGAGGCCAGCCTCAGCTACAAAGTGAATTAACTCCAGCCTGAACTATATAGCAAGATCTTGTGTCCAAAAAACAACAAAAAATTTATCGGACCTTTAATGTCATCCAATACAGTTTTATACTTGCTTGAATAGAAGTCTGACAAATCTTTCATTAGATTGATTCTTAAATTTCTTATATTTGTTGTGATAATAATAATTATGACTATTGTTAGTGTGTAGAAATGTGATTTATTTTTTAGCATTAGTACAGCAAATTCATCCTCCTGTCTTTCTTATTCCAAGAAGTTAACTGAGGAATCTTTTGTGCTTTCTATGTAAGCAATTCCATTGATGATGTGTAAACCCTGTTCCATTCTAATAATTAAAGCTTCTTTTTCTTGTCCAATCTCACTGGCTAGGAGCTCAGACACTGTGGTGATGGCCTCAAATTTTGTTTTATTGTTGATATTAAGAGAAATTCATCTGGAATGTACTTTGGCTTTAGATGTTAGGAGAAGATTCTTTTTTGAGATTAAAGAAGTTCTCTCTTCTTTTCCAAATGCTTTTTAAATCAAGAATTGATGGCTCATTTTATCAAATGGTTTTCTGTGATTTAATCTGTTAATGTGAAAAATTAATAATTGGTTTGGTCATAATGTGTTTCTATGCTACTGGATCCCATTTGTTAATATCTTGTGTAGGAGTTTGGGGTATGTGTTTATTGGTAACTCTGGTGTATAATTTTCTATTCTCATGCTGTCCTTGTTAAGAATTTATGTTAAAGTTTTTTTGGTCGCATAGATTAAGTTGGAAAATTGATCTTCTGGGGTTTTTGTTGTTGTTGTTTGTTTGCTTGTTTTGAGACAGGCCAGTTTGAGCTGGCCTTGAACTTCACTATGTAGCCCAGGCTAGCCTAGAACTCACAGAAATCCTCCTGCTTCAGCCTCCTGAGTGCACCACCATGCCTGTTTTTTTTTTCTTAATGTTTAATACCCAGTTTTCTCACCTAGTCTACAAGTTTTCTTGTGCTAGTAATGGTATTCAATTGGTTTCACAGTATCAAATTTCAAAATGCAATCTTTGACCCAGAAATTTCTCTGCTATGAATTTATCCTATGAATCTTCCCAAACAGGTATTCAAAAATACATGTACTAGAAAGGTATTTATTTTTGAGCTAGCAACAAACTAAAAACAAAGTCCCTCAATTAGAGACTTAGTTAAAAAATAAGTACAATTATTTTGTTCCCCTTACAAAGAATGAGGTAGCTGTATTTGTGCTGATGTATAATATTTCTCCAAAATCTACAAATAGGTTAAAGCAGGTGGCATATATAAAGGGGAATTTTTAGAAAGACAGCTCTATGGAGCAGCATCTACTGCTTCTGGGAGGAGCTTCAAAGCTGGGGAACACCAGGGCCCCCCGGAAGCGAGGATAGCAGGGCACTGCAGGCCTTTGTCTTTGCACTTTCTAACGCTGGGCTGGCAGCAGCTGTGGGCTGCCGTGTCCTCCCCTCTTGCTAACTGTTCAGTCTCATCTATTTCCCCTCTGGCTCTTGAGGCTTGTCGCTGTCCCTGAAAGGAAGCCCTCCATTAGCCCCCGGTTTGGTCAGAAGAATAAAGCAGTTGGAAAGGTTAAGTTGACATAAATAGGAAGCTTGGTAACCTCCTGCAAGTGTTGCCTTGGAAACCAGAGCCAGAGCGGTCTCCATGGAAACCATCTTCAGCCTTCTGTCTGGAGGAGTTGCTGCCCACCTTTGCTGGAGTCTTGCTATCCAGGGACCATGGGGCTTCAAAAATGTTTAGGGGGTGACGGGGGCTTGCCCCTGCCCACCCTGACGATGCCCGCTTAGGGACTCTGGGCACCACCTGCTTCCTGCCTTGGAGGGAAGGGGAAGCCACACCCAAGGCAGGGTATGCAGCGGCCCAGGGTAGAGCAAGGGATCCTTGTCTGG